GTCAGTTTTTTTCCTAAATCTCCAATGAATTCTAAAGTAAAACTCTTTGCCCAGAGAGCTGGCCGAAGATACAGTAGGCTTCGCTGCACTATCTCGGCAGTTCATAGCTACCGATGGACGGAAATCGGAGGAATTGCCAACCTCAGCAAATTATCGTTCGATCTTAATCGCCGCCGTAGCGCTAATCGCCTAAAGTTGTCATCTCAAATCGAAATCGATCCATGGAATTTCTTAAAGAAAATATTACTATGAATGCGAATTTAAGATAAAAACTTAAAAAAAATTATTACGCAAAGGACTAAACGATTTTCATATACTTAGAAATAATAAATAAAAAATAAAAAAAATTTTATTAGCGAATAGAATGTCATAAAAATTTGTCGCCTTATTAATCACAATTATTTTATTTCCATTTTTAGCATTTAATTGATGAATTTTGCTGAAATTTTACATTTTTTGCCTAAAAATCTGTGAAAAATGCAAAAGTGAATTCCAAAAATGCTGCCTTGGTAACGAAGCTTTTTCGTGTTGAATGGCTTGACAATGATAATTTTTATTAGAAACGCAATTATTAAATGATTGTTTTTCAAGAATTATTTCAGCGTTTGAGCTATAATATAAATCTCACAGCTATCATCTTTGATCATCATAATACATAAAAAGGGAATAGCATTATAATTTATTCAGTGCTAGTGATATGCTGGTGTTTTACACTGATATCAGTGCTTTTGTATTCGCTTTACATTTTACCTCTCACAATTTCACTCATAAATATGGTGGAATCCCAATTTTTATTTTGAAAGTACTATGGAAGATAATGAAAGTACCGCAGAATATAAACAATGAAAAAATTAATGAATTAATAAAAATAATAAGATGATTTGAATTATTTGCAATAATTTAATATGAAACAATTGTTGCTTAGTGATAACTGATAATTTCCAACGGGAATCGAGGGAATTCACTGATGCATCACTCATCGTCGTGCGGCAGCGTCGCCTAACGAGAAAGGCAAAAAAGAGCAGAATGGCTCAATGAGTTGCTACTCAATTCAGAGCGCCGATGCTAAAATTCTACTCTCGGCAGGACAAAGTCTGTCCAGCAATCCAGGTGATGCTGGTAGATGCTGTGAGGAAAACATTTTAAATCTTGAAAAGCCCTTACTTTATCACCTACCGTAACCGCGAAATACTTGGAATATTTTATAATTTTATAATACTTTTTATTGCTTATATTGTTTGTACTTCTTATTCTGTGATAAATTAATTAATCAATTTTTGTTAATAAATTAAAATAAAAATTGTTGTCTAAAAGAAAAAAGAACAAATTGTATTTGAAACAGCTGAAAAATTTGCAATCTAACAATTTTAAAAAAAGCAGTTTTAGGAGGATATTGTTTAATTTTTTTCTACTGCTAACAAAATTTTTTGGTAAAAAATTTCTATAAAAATTAAAATATATTTCTTGTAAGTTTTAGAAAAAAAATCATTTATTATAACAAAAATTTAATAAAACATTTGAAAAAATTATTTAAAACACTTGTAAAAATTATTGTTTAAGAAAAAACCAAATCAGCTACAAGGGTTTTTTTGTTGTTTTCGTTATTGGTTGCTGAATATCAAATATCATATATATAAAAAGTATTGATGCTTTCAACGGGTTCTCGATAATACTGATTAATTTTATCACTGAAAGTCACCATCTAATGAAGAAATAAATTAGAAGAATAAAGTTCTAATATTGGTTATCTTCGTACGAAATTTGCAAATCACTTCTTTTGACGAGAGTAAACGTGTCAGAAAACTCCTGTGAACTGCTGTTGACCCTGTGTTTCCATTATTAAAATGGCTCCAGAATGAAAGAGCCTATTTATATTGATATGGCACCAACCAAAGCATAGAATATTGGCGCATATCTGGTAATTTGTTTCGCCTAGCTGTGGATAGCGTCAAAAGCGATAAACGCTAATCAAGACCTGGATTAATATAAATGAAAGAACGTATAGAGCCTAGCTAGTGAAACAAAGGCTTTGAAGGTGAAAAAAGAAGTTCTTTTGTTATTTTAAGAGCCACTGCATCGAATGGAGAGGTTTGGAAACGTCTAAACGTCAATAATAGTGACTGTTAGAAAAACAAGTTACAATAGGCAGTCTGAAAGAATTTTTAGTACTCTCTAGGTGAAATATTTTTTGCTTCTGGTAAAAGAAGTTTGGATTTTCTTATTATTCGCCATTTATGACGACTGGAATTTTCATCATTTCTCCTATATAAATTTAATTGAATAGATGGACGCATATTACTATTTCAAAAAAGGGGCCATATTCCTAAATATGTACGAATAAATTAGTCATTCGATTAAAATTGCCGAATAATTTCTTATTAACATGATAAGAATATGATAAATATATCAATAAGAAATAAATTCAACGATAAATTACCTTTTTTTTGCACGTTTTGCACGTTTCATCATACTAGTTGTGTATAATGGATTATGAATGTTATGTGCGTGTGATATCTTGTAATGACAAAAAACTAATGTAATTTATCTGATAACACGACAAAAAATGATAGAATAAACAACTGAGAATATAACTTGTATTGCCGAACTATATTACCAGGCAGATTCTAAGTAGATCGGGACACAACTCTTTTTGATGGAGAGTGCAAGGTTTAGGACGTACTCTCCGAATGTTGATAACTGAATGAAGTTAATCGCCTCTTTGTATGGGACTGTTTTAATTAGAGAAACGCCAGATTTTTCTAATTTTATAAATTTTTATAATAAAACTTAGGGATAAGGAAAAGCTGGTTTAAGGACAAAGAACTAAATAACTAAGCAAATTTTATTGCTGTTTATGGAACATAGATGTTGCAATCGAACCCACAGTATGGTATTAGTACCAAAACTTATTTTACTTTGTTTTCCTCAGTTATTTCCTGAAAAATATGTATTCGGGAAGAATTCATACCGTCCGTCCTCCAAAATCGGCCATATTTGAGATCTCTCTCCAATCCCTGCCAAACACTTTTTTAATATTCCTTATCATTTATACTTAGCATACCTTTCAGCATACCTTCAGTATTCTTTTTTATTATATTGCACTAGCCAGCACAAATGTCTTTCAAAACCTGCCACACCCTTTCCCCTAACAAATTCTTTGGAATCTGCACAACCTTAGCACTCTCCCATTCGAAACCCTGTCATGCTCTATCTAATCTCCGCCCTTTTATTCAAGAGCAAATCAAATTTTCTCATAAATTTTCTTATTTTTTTATATGTAAATGAGATGGTTTTGCAAATTAGCTAACAGATGTGTGAACAAAGAAAAGAAGAAAGATTATTTTGTGCGATTTGCATAGTATTGAATAGTTGACTACTTATAATGTGAAAAAGCTTTATTAAAGAAATGTTGCTTTCCTTTTTTTTTATGAATTTTTTAAATGTTTTATGAATTCTTACCGTATTACTATTATTTTTTTATTTTCGGCTATTTCCGACACCAGTTTTTTTCCCCCCCCCCCGCACCCCTTCGCAATTCACTTTTGCAGCAAATAAATTAATAATAAAAACTGCAAAGCATAGCATAAAGGGAAAATCGAGGCATCGAAGGAAGAATACAGCGCAAATTTGAGCATATTCAAGGAGAATTACGAGGATCGGATGGGTACGAAACCGATGTAACAATGTTTAACAGGTTACTCCTACCAGTGAATATAAACACTGAATGCTCTCTGTCGAAGCAATTAAACCACCAACACCCCTTCTTCTCAAAACACTTTAGTGATCCGGCATAATGGCTGCAAACAGTCCATTTCCTGGCGGTCTATTACTATTTATCTGCTTTATCTGTTCCTTTTTCTCCATGCAAAAACGAATATAAAAAACGAAAAAACACTGCCTCTTAACCAATTAACTCTGCAACATCTACCCACCTCCTCAATTCCCTCCCCTTGCCACCCTCTCTTTATCAACCTTAGCCGATGTTTAATATTTCGCAGACACGGCTCCTTTAAATGTCATCTTCGGCTTCAAAGAAAGCAAATGTCATGATAATGAACTTATTGATAAGGCTGTGATAAGGCAGTAAAATGGATGGCTGTGATTCTTTTTCTTTTGAATAATTATTTATATGAAATTACGAGGGATCGATGAATTCGTCAATTTCATGTTAATGAACGGAAGTAGTGAATCCAACATTGTCTCGTCCAAAGCGTAGCAGTATTGCTTCGACAATTTATGTCACGTGACGCGGGTTCATTGAAAGCGAAATTGGGGTGTTCGCTGAGGTACCATTCGTATTTCTGTTGCACAATGGACCGACGAGGCTTACCAAATCGACTAATATTCGAATATTCGAAAAACATCAATAAATCTATTTGTAAAAGATTAATAAAGATTAATCTGTATTATATCTAGTTGAGCGGATTTAATCGCTCAACTCGTTCTCACTTTCATTTCGGAGCGTTCATTTTCAAAAAGTGTAATTTATTTTAGCGGTCACCTTGATCCTTATCTCCCCTGCGGCTCTCCCGACAAGCCAGCGGATCGAACCCAAACAGAAATGGTGAGCACTGTTAGAGAGAAAAAAATATATGTATTGTTATTTCGTGGACTGTTCCCCTAAACTTCACAACCTGTTGCTTTGAAATTCTTCGATATCTCCTCAGAAAAAACGTGCGTCTTAAAACGCTTTTTGCCATTTTTAATACTGCCTGCTGTACTTTTTTTGCCATAGTCCCCTTAAGTAACTTCATCTTAACCACTGAAACCTGGACATGGACCTCTCCTCAATTTCTTTCCCCCTCCTTTCTCTCATTTTTTTCTCTTTGCATTTACAAATTATGGAGTCGCTATGAATGATGTGAGGATTGACTGGAAGTACTAGAATTGGATCGAGGAATTATAAAGATGGAGATGTGAAAAGAGACTGAGGGGATTCAGAGGTAGTAAATTTCGCGGACTTGAGAATACAAAGAGTAAGAGAACCATGAAATAAACATATGTATTTGGCAGGTTTAGAGAGAGATCCACAGGTTAGTCGGATAACTAATCTTTCCGCTAAATATTTATAGTTTATCATTTTACTTATTTATTTTCTAAAAATTCGTTTATTTTTATTTCGTTATGCATTCATATTGATCAATGACATTTTTTAAATTTTGTTTTCAGTTCATCTCATCGTCATTTTTCGTGGTGGCGCAACCTGTGAAGTTTTTTGCTATTCGTTTCCAGATTGAAAGTTACTTGTTCCCCGTGGGCGGTGCTTTGTGAAGGGGTGGGGCTTACGTAAGTCTGTGAAAAATAGCCGAAGGGATATTTTGTGAACTGTATTATAGCGATTGTAACAGTAGCATAATTTCCAGCATCAGATATAGTTTAAGAGTTTATTATTTTTCAGGTCGTTTTTTTTCTTGGGCAAAGAAAAGAATGGCAGGAATAGCGTCAGCCCCACCTTATCCAATTCCAACACCTTATTTCACAAACGCAGGCGATTTACCACCTGGATACGAAGAATCCACGAATCCTAACTGTAAGTTTTCTTGCCTTTATTCCTTATGAAAGGTTTTGGAATCGAGGTCAAAGTAATCATTTGATATATTTGTCTGAGGGCAAATAATGTAAGCTCGATTCCTTTAAATGAGAATCACGAGGGTATACTTTTTGTACGGAATTAACAACAAAAATTTTTCGAAGGAGCACGTCGATTCCTACCTCTAATGTCTAATTTCCCAAAATTCCTTCAGGAATCCGCTCTATTGTGTTTTCTGTATAGATTTAAATTTCCTGCAGGAAATTTCACGCGGGACTTTTATTTGTCAACAATATTATAAATTCTTCGGTCAACGTTCTCTTAATTATTATGTCGCTCCGAATATTCGGACCACCTCTAATTAAACCTTTTAGTAACGACGCAAATATATATAAAGAAACACTGATTTTGGAGGACATTTCAAAAAATATAAATGCCCAGCTCATCCATCGCTTTCCACTCCTTTTCCCAACAGAGGCCAAAAATGAATGGCCTCTGTTAAATGGCCAAAAATGATCTTTTGGGAGCTTTGATTTGAGATGGTTGGGGACATTTATGGTATTTTATTCTCCAAAAATAAAAGCCATATTATATCTCTCATTTATAAGGTACCGTGCTATTATTCTGTGATATTTTTTAATTCATTAATTGGGAAATAGATGCGTAGTAGGTGCGATGCGCTGCTTATATTTGCAGCTTTCTTCGCCATTCGGCGACACTGCCGCCTGATAAAATCTGTTATACATGTAAGCACTGTTATTGACAAACTCCCTATCAATTTCCATCGAGGTTTAATAAGACAATAATGATCTCATCTATTCTCAGGAGATGATTTGTTTAGATTTCTTCTCTATTATTAAAATATGCATTATCCTTGAAGCAATTATTTAAATTAAAATTGGGAATCCGCCCATGCACTCTGCTGATAAAAATGAGCGTTGCTAAAATAATAATAGAATCTGACTTGTTTAAGTGATGGTTCTCCCTTGTGATGCCCAACTGCATGTGGCTTTTGTTTTTTATAGGCCTTAATACATCTGGGAACCTCTCTTTTCTTTAAGGCCATCACATCCTGATCTCCTAATGGTATGTCTGGGTGTGTACGACGTTCCTCAGGGGTTCTCCCTCCTTTATAATTTCTAGAGAGTAAAGGAGGGATACTAGTCTAATTAGTTCTTACCATTGGCTAACTTAATTTTTGCAGATCTTATGAGGATTTAGAGTTTTTTCCTGAGATTCATTTATTTCGACGATTCTAGCCAACGGCCAGATCCCTTTACCTTTGTTCTCTTCATATGTTAAAAGGACCTCATTTATTTTCTGGCTTCTGTTCATATTCGAACAGGAATTGCGATGCTGACGGATAGCCTTTTCTCGAAATAGGTTGATATGATCCTGCCACCACATTTCCTAAAATCTTCGGAATAATCTTTTGGTTTCGATTCTTTCCATCTTTTTAAGGGCGTATCGTAACTTTCCGATCTGCCATACTGTTTTTTCTCAGTCTTATTTACTAATAACTGGTTTCCTATTCCCTGCATTCCTGGACAAATCAAATCGATACGACTAATAATTTTGGATTCTTCCTAAACGTATGTTAATGGTCTCAAGTTAAAAAAGTTCTCCACTTCCACTAATAGCGTTCTCAATTCTTTTTCATACAACAGTTTTCTGTCTACCATTTTTGGCGGTTTTCGTTATACCAGTCATTCGTTCATAAACTCCTGCTTGTCAAGGTGCATATTTCCAATGCATGCTTCACCAGTTTAAGCTGAATACTTTAGCTCCTGATTCGAAATTCCTGCCGTTATCTGAATCTTATAGAATCTTAGTTAATGGACCACCTGTCCTAGAACGTACTAATTATATGGATGAAGGCAGATGCTGACAAATCCCAGACCATTTCTAAATATAGCTCGAGTTGTCAAGCAAGTGAGTATCGCCCATGTTTTAATTTCTTTTCGAAAATTAAAAAGTCGAAAAAGGTCTATTCGATTTGAAAGGTCGTTGTTGCTGTATTCCTGTATTCTACAAACCGGCAAATTGAGCATATCATATAGCTTAAATGGCAATCCATCTCCTGTAGCTCATGCAGGTTCTCCTTATTGCGTTTGTCACTGTCTGTCTGCCCTTCGAAATCCAATACTCTTGCCATAGTTGTGCCAGTGTGTAGGCGGTAGCACTGTGACCGTAAGCTGTATGAATATATAAGATAATGAGGTAATTCTGCTCTTTCTGCTCTTTCTAGGGAGGAATATTACATTGTGAATACGACCTTTGCATCTGTAGATGTTCTCATCCTGATAAAGTTCTTATTTTAATGTCTTCTAAGGTCACTCCTTCCGACTCAGTTTAACGGATTAACCATGTTTTTTGCCAGAAGGTTCAAATTTGATGATGAGCTCCTGTGCTTGATGCGGTCTAACTTTCGAATCTTTTCTGATATTTTCACCACAAATTTTATTACGCATATAACTATCCCCAGTAATTTCTGAAGCGACCCTATTGATATTGAGAGGATCATTTATCAGTGCTTCCCATTTTCTTATCTCATTACTTACATATTAGACTAGTTGGCTGATGTCCTACTTGAGCTGTTCTATCTCATCCAGCTGTGTAAAGAGATCTGTGCAAGGAGGTTGTTTGTGAGTGGTCTAAGTTTGTAAGGATCTTGAAATCTTTTATTTTGTTTAAAAATTCAATAAATTCGACTGTGTAAGGGTCAGTTCTCAATTTCAATAACGAGGTTTCATTTCATTTCAGTCTTGGGTCACAGCGAAATTAAGGAATTTTCAAAACAAATCAGTAAACTTGTGAGTAATGACGACGTTACAATCGGAAATTACAGAAGCTTCCACAAAAATTCAAAAAAAAATTTTAAATCAATAAAGCTTCCCTTAATATCGATCCTTGACTGTCGATACTTCTTTTTCTTTTCTTAGTTATCCCTTCGTCGATAAAAATTACCCATATTATATCGACCAGTAATCGATCAATAATTGATTCAATTCTTACTTCTTCAAAATTCAATTGGGAACGAGTGTTTCCGGGCTGATGCACCACTACAAAAAATAGCAATACAAATTTTTCGAAATAGCAAGCAATTCCTACCTCCAATATCTAATTTCACAGAATTCCTTCAGGAATCCGCTCCACTGTGTTTTTTCTATAGATTTTACAAATTTCCTACCACGCGGGACTTTTATTTGTCAACAATATTATAAATTCTTCGGCCAACGTTCTCTTAATTATTATATCGCTGCGAATGTTCGGGCCACCTCAAACTTGGGTAATTAAACCTTTTATTAGTAACGAATATAAAGAAATATATATAAAGAAAGCAAAATGAAACTGAAACTTTTGTCCTATTACAGACAAAAATAATACAATACGTAAAAACCCAATATAAAAAAATATATAAATGCCCAGTTCACCCGTTGCTCCCCACTCTTTTCCCTAATAGAAGCTTAAAATGCCCAAAAATGATATCTTGGGAGTTTATATTTGATTTGAAATGGTTGGGGACATTTATGGCTTTTTATTCTCTCAAAATAAATGCTATATTGTATCTCTCATTTATAAGATACTCTACTATTATTCTATCTACAATTCTTTTCTTCCTTATTTCATTAATTGGGAAAGAGATACATAGCACGTGCGGGTGACCTGCTCATATTTGCAGCTTTCTTCGCCATTTGGCGGCACTAAAATGTGGTTCAGTCTATTCTGGCTAACCACTTGCATTTTTGAATCATATAACTTTTCTGCTGGAAGAGTCACACTCAGAGCAACCTGTGCATTGTGAAGTGCAAAAACGCCTGTTATTAGAAAAAAGAGCCCAGTTCCAAGTGATTTCGAGAGAGATATTCGCGTTTGCGGAAAAGTTATTGTTATTGGCCGATAACTTTGAAGATTTCAAATTTTAAGTTCGAACCAGGAAATTTTGTTTCATATTTTTGATTTCATTAATAAAATATGCTCAAACGACTCATTGCCAGTGGTTGATGGCCTATTTTTTGATATTTTTGATTCCATAATCACCTAAAAGAATTTTTTGTTGATAAATTTTAATGTGCTCAAAAGATTTGGAAAAATTTGCTGAAATTTGATTTGATCTATACTTGGTTATCTTTGATAAGTATTGTTACTACAGTAGCCATGAACTCAATAATGATTTTTTGATTTTTGGTGTTTAAAAGTTGGTCTTGATCTACATAGACCATATTTCTTTTTAATTAATATAATTGTTTATTATATTATTTAATTTTTGGTGTTTTTTGTATATTGTGGAGCATTCTTATAGCAATGCCACCGAGCTATGAATCTTTATTTGGAGAATTTCGTCAGGTAGAGAATCCAAAGAGTCTCGCGCAATTTCTCGCAAAAGCCACTGCTTTTGTTGTAAGTACAGGTGATCAAATTTATTTTTAATTTCCCGGCAAGTTCGGATCATAGAAACTTCAAGAAAATCGTTTATATTTTGTCATAGTTTCAGTCTTCTGAATTATACATAGAGATTATACAATTAATTCGACAGGTTTATATTAGGCTGAAAGATTAATGTTAATAATATCTTAATAGCAAGCAAAAAATAAAAGTGGTTAATGGTTAGCTGTGCTGGATGTTATTGTGGCTAGAAAATTTTGTCAGGAAATCACTTGCCGATAAAATACTTATGCGTTATTGGCACCACCGGGATTTTTTAATGATTAAACATCAATAAATAATTTCTGTTTGAGAAAATTAAAAAATTATTTCATTATTATTTTTATTTTTCTTAACTGGATTAAGGGAGTTTGGTTGGATGTTATATCACTTACTAGAGAGTAAAGTATTTGAGTGAGGATAAATAGCATAGTTTTCTAAACGGGAATAGAAACGGAAGTAGAATTGAAATTCTAGGGACTGGTAGGTGCGTTTCGGTTCCAAAATTCGTCTGGATGAAGAGTTCTCTATCTATCAATGAAGCAGCTAAAATAAAAATGCTGGTAAAAAGCTGGATTAACCCAGAAACTTTAAGAAGAATTTATTATAATATCTATTAATAGTAATGAATTTCAGTGACTGCTGCAGTTCTGCTCGCTTTTTTAAATATAATTCCATTATTTATGGTCGTACTGGGAAGCATGAATATACATCGTTGCCCCATTGAACCGTATATTCCAGTTTGGCTTATTATAACTGGTGTTTTTTCACTTTTTAAGAGTGCTACAAATTTTTATTATCGAGCGAAACGCCATCGCGAGGGACGACCACCATCGGTTTCTGACATCAATCCGAATCCTTTTGATGGCCTTTTATCATGTTTTCTTATTGTTTGGTTCATTATAGGTATTTTAATTTTTCATTTTTTTTCTTCATTTAATGCTCGGATAAATGAATTAACAAAATTTTAACAAATTATATTTTTAATTTCTCATCTTATCAATTAAATCAGCTGCAGTAATTAAGTGCAATTTAATTAATTTCATGAAAGAAAAATTAATTAATGTCTCCGAAAGTCTTTTTAATAATCTGCTAATTATCCCGTATTAATCCCGTAATGTGTTAATTATATGGAAAATCTCAAGTCCTATTACATTTTTCCTTACCACTTTTCCCTACATACTTCTCGAAACCTCATTGTTTCCCGTCAACACTTTGATCTGTGTAACTGCGTTCTTTTTTTAGTTCCTTTTTATATCTAATGCCCTATTAAATTCCGCTGCGCCTCATCAACATTTCAGTAACATTACCCCTTAACTTCCTTTGACACCATCCTTTAATATATTCTTCATTTCGAAAGACCTATTGTTTCCTTTTGACACTCGTCAAATTCTTCTGTTCTATTCTGCCTTACTTCCTTAAAGTTCATTATGAATTATCAACCATAAAACGCCTTTTTGCCCTTCTATCAACTTATTAAAATCTCTCAAAATCCCTTCCTTTTTCTCTTAAGATCCTCTGAAACCCTGTTGCATTCCTTCAGTAATTTTCCTTTCATTCTTTCCTGTAACCCTTTAATATCACTGTAAACTCCATTATACTTTCCTCAGTATACGTTACGCCCTTTTATGATTGAACATCTCTCACATTGTACTCTCTTTTTCATTATCCATTACCACTTGTAATACAAACTTCGTTTTAAATACTAACTTTAAATTTCAGTCATGGTACCTTGGCCCACATCCCCTCTATTTTTTCCCCTAACATCCCATCAGATCTTTTTTCTGTATTCTTCTGTAAATCTTTGATATTGTATTTCCTTAAGATTTCCTCGATATATTCTAATATCCTCTTCAAATTCCTCTATGCTTTAGTCCTAATCCAGTTGTGGCATTAATTAATAAACCAGCTTAATTTCATCCAAGTTTTAATAATCACTCGGAAGTCTTAGCTCAGCAAAACTCTTTTATCCACCATGTTTTTCAGTCATATCCCCTTAGCAACATCTCTTTACTATTTCATATCATAAGCTATCCTAAATTCTTATTCTTTAAAATGTGTATAGAGTGTATAGCATATAAATAACTCACTATTTATTTATTTTAATTTTATAGACTTTATTTTTCGTTAAACATATCGTTGACCTTCCTTTGGTATCCAGCTATTTTCATTTTGGCTTTCACTGGATTTTATAAATGGAAAGCTTCATTTCTGTTTCCTCATTTTTATTTCAGTTTTAGTTTTAATCTTTTGTCTTTTGCGTCATCATCATCACTTCTTAATTAAGTTGTTTTCACCGTATAAATCCTGCGAAACGATTAATAGTCAGCTATTGTAGTTCCAGTGTAAGAAAGGAGAGGACGTTGAGGATTTATAAGAACTGACACCGAAGAAATTTAACGTAAAATAATAAAGTGCGTGAACTTGACGGAATTGAATGGAAATGATAAGGTCGGAAAGGATCTTAAGAGAATATAGTTTTGAGATGATTGAGGGGAATACATCAGGATTTGAAAAAAGCCAGTAAAATGGTTACCAATTTTTTCAATTTTTTGAATTTTCATACTCTAATAAACTGGAAATTTTACCCTTCCTCAGTTGTTCTAATAGAAATAAAAGCTATCATATTTGAAGATAATTTGCTTAACATAGATGCATTGATTTTCTCGTAGTTACACAATTTTAAGAAGGGCTAATCTATTATTATTTTTATTATTTATGGTTTATAATTTTCTCTTTTTCCGTTGCTTTATCTTCTAATCTTTTAAAATTATCTTCTAATTTTTTCAGGGTCAGTGTGGATCTATTCGATATATGACGAAGTTCATTATTTTTATCCTGAAGATAGCGATTACTGCGACCAATTCACATATATGTTTTCATTCGTTTTCGTTACTGGCGGTTATATCTTATTAGCTTTAACATGTTGCTGCTTGTGTTGTTGCTGTTGTTGTATATGTTGTCGTCCTAAAAGGGAAGCACCGCAACAGTTGCATCCTTGATGAAATGAATTAACCGTAATATATTGTTATTCCATTCTGGTTCTTAGGTTTTCATCAAATTCTTGGTTTTGCGATTATAATAAAAAAATGGAATAAATGGAGTTTGTCCCTAAGAATCTGTTTTTTGTACTGGTGCAGCCTATGTAAATTTATTCGTACGGGCCGCATGTGCCATTGTATGTTCGATGTAATAAAAATAATAATATTAATGATCTCTTTATTTTCTAGCATATTTGGTATTAATTAGGCTGTTTTAGGCGTTTTAAAACTCATTTATTAAGCCATATATCATGGGATTTCATAAAATTCAAATTATAAAATAAAGAAATAAAATGAGCATTGTTTTAATGAATTACATAATAGTAATAAACACAGTAAAGTAACCAGTAATCAATGTGAGAAACATAAAGCATCGAAAAAGGATATATTAAAAAAGAAGCACCATATATATATATATATATGTAAAAATTTGGTTTGACAAAGTTCCAAAACATTACAGTTGTTCAATTTACGTTCATTATATGACTTGTATTCTCGTTTTTTATTAAAAGAAAAACTGACCGGATTGAGTGGAATGATTCTAATAACTGAAATGATCCTAAATGTCCTGGATTTTTGGCTACAAAATTTAATATAACAGGCCTTGCTTGAGTGTTTCAGATATGACCTCAGGCTTGCCGATTGTTGTGATATTTTCAAGGTTTTTATTGTTTACATTACCCATACCTGCATGAGTTTAGGGCTGAGAAGTATTTTCACTTATTTATTTAAGTAAATAAATATCATTTTTCATTGAGCTATATTCTTTTCGATTTTTTATCAGAAAAAGATTTACCAAACCTGAACGTTTTTATATTTCAAAACTTTCCATTGTTCAACTGTATAATTCTTCTAGTAATCTGCTTCGACATTTCGGACATTCACGTATATCCATTAGATTAATCCGTCGTGGATGTTCGTTACAAGTTCTTTCTGCATGACCTTGGAATTCAGTGCCACATTCACAGCACTTGACTGTCGTTGCTGGTCGATGGCAAATACATACTGAATATTAATCAGTACAAAAATTTTCGAACGAAGCAAAAGTTTATAACGGGTTATAAATTTTTCTTTTTACCATAAAATAATTGGTCCCATTAAAAAAAATGCTGACCGCTGATAGATGCCAAATAAATATATACAAATTCTGAGGGCGATAAATTATAAAGTGATACCTTTTTCTTCATTTGGAACCTGTATATGATTAACTGATTCGATTTCTTTCAGTTCTGATTTATTTATACTCAGTTTTTTGGTGAATATTTCATGTTTTAATATATTCGACGATTCCTCCAATGAATCCTTTCGTATATGCACTGCTTTAGGATTCTAGAATTTTAAAATGAATTTTCAAGGAAAAATAATAATAAAAATACAAAGAACCACAAAAAACAAAAAATCGCAATTTTGGCATTCAACCAAGCGCTATCTATCAATCAGATGATTTTAAATACATTAAATTATGCAAGGATATGGCAAGAGAACAAGGAAAAAACTATTAATTCTAGCAGAGTTGAACTTACAATCTAGTAAATCCATAGTTTAACGATTAACAAAATCAAAAAAATCATAAGAATTTGAATGTAAACAAAAAATTATAAATTCTTTTAGAAATTGAACCTCAAAATCCTATCATTTCTTTGATTAAACTTATAATTAAGTAATAAATTAATGATAATAATGATAAATTAAGTGGGCAATTAAAATATAAGCAGGTGCTCAGGGGCGGTTCAACGTTATTAGTACGGTCATTTGGGGAAAGAATAGATATGGAACCCCCTCAATTTGTTAACAACAGGTCCACCTTTATCGTAGAGAAAACCGAGCTTTGATTCATAAAAACAACATTAAGTATAGTTTAAATATATTTCTTTTATTAAAAGAATTATACTTGGAGATCTGTAACTTCAAAGAAAATATCTGAAGCTATTACATCATAAAAATCGTTTTTCTTCAAGTCTTTCAAGCCACACGGATCATTCGTCGTTGACGGTGGAGCCATCTTATTCATTTTACATTTCTTGTTGCTTCTTCCTATCTAAAATATTCAACTTAGAAAAATGCATTTAAAATCTTAAATTTTTTAGTTTATATTTTTACATCTTATTTAATTATATCATATTTAATCTATTAGTTACTCACTTCGCGGAAAGCTTTCCTACATTAGAAATAATCCTGTCATTAATTAATCTGAGTGACTGAGAATCGATTTGCACCTCTATCTCCAACTGATCCTTTGGTGAAAAATGTCTCTCCACTCTCACAATCAATGGATCTAAAAAACCAAAAGAGTGGTGAGCCACCTGTCGATGTTGACGATGATGAATTTTCGATCGATGGTTTCGATAATCAAACCATATATTACGTGATATTTTATCAAAAATGAAAATTTCCTCACTTTAATTGCATATATAATCGAATATAAATGCTGCGATTTTACGAAAATAACAAAATAGTATTTAAAAAAGATTACCTAAATAAATTTAAATGAGTTCTAAAATCCGAATTACCTTTCCTCCTTTATTTTAAAAATTTGCCACTCTAACTAACTTCCAGTGAACATGAAAGATAAATTTTGATAAATGCATTATTTAAGGTATGTAAATCCACGATAATTTACTCCATCCTGAGGCGCTTTGCATCAATTAGCATATTCCGTAATTCGATCGAAAGGCTCACGAAATTTTTTTATAACCAACAGTAATAGTAAAAACCAAACTAGAAATGGTAAAGAAAAAGAAAAATATATTCCGTGGTAAAACAATTTGGTAATATCCTAAGACCAATATTTTTTCGAAAAAAAGGGTTGTTTATTCTAAAAAAAATTAATGAAATTTTCGTATGACCCAAAAAAAAATATTAAAATATAAAGCAGTTCATTGTTGAACAAATAAAATATGAAATTCAAGAGATAAAGAATAAAGTTCTTTAAAAACTTTAAATAATTTATTTGATTAATTCCAAAAAAATTTTCATGAAACAAATCAAAACAACAACCAAACGGTATTTCACATAATCTCGAAAATTATTGTTACTCTCGACTTGTGCTGATTCGAAATAATAACAAAAATTACATTTACATGCATCATGCATTTATGCATTCGCATGCACCATACATTTATGCATTCGCTTGCACCATACATTTATGCATTCGTATGCACCATACATTTATGCATTCGCATGCACCATACATTTACGCATTCGCGTGCACCACACATTTACGCATTCGCGTGCACCATACTTTTGTGTATTTGCAAGTTTAATCTTGCTATAGCGAAAACTTCAAAAACGATAGTTTTTTTTCCTCATTTAAACAGATTTCAACTGATAACAGTTCCAGTTTTATCAAATTTAATTTTAATTTCAATCAATGGCCAGTTAATTTTTTATTATCATTTGCATTCATTATCATTTTATCAGTTAAACCACATCAGTTAATTTTTCTTGTTGTTTTAAAAGCATTTAGCATTTCTGGTTTAGCTTATTTCAATATCTACTATAAGGCCGTTTAGTCAGAGAATCATTTCCAGATAGATGTGCAACTAATTACCGATAGTTTTTTTTTAATGATGACAGGCTTACTCCTTTCATGAGGTAGGAATCGATGTCATTCTGCTAGTCTTCCTCCTCCTCCCCCTCCGCACCGCGAAAACTGCTTAATCACCACGGTTATTGCTTATCAATTATGATGCTAACCTTATTAAATGAAGCAATAAATCGCCACCAGTCATTCTCTTCTTTCATATTACTTGCGATTTGTCGCATTTCATCGGATGTGTACCTTTTTCGATTCACCTCTTCTCCCATCATCGTTTTGTTGCTGTTGTCGCCGTTGCTATTGCCACCGTTGCCGTTATCACTGTTGTCGTTGTCACAGTTGTCAGTCGCCGCCGTTCGCTAAAATACTCGAAAATATTGTTTGCGAAACGATTAAAATGATTCGTTTCACGAATACACAGCTGAATGTACTTTTTTCCTCGTTCATCTCGTAACGCCCTCCCATTTTTTTTATAATTAGATATTTTCCCTTACTCGTAAATCACATAATTACTTAAGCATTAATCTGAGGTCAAATCGAGGTCAAACTGCTCAGATTTTTTAGGGCAAACAAATATTAAAGAAGCGAGAATGGAATTTTTCCGAATTAATTTTAAAAAAACTATTAAAAAAAAATAAAAGCAAGGCCAAATAGAGTACAGACATCGCATTCACTACCGCAAATAGCCTCAGGCTGATTGTCCTTAAATTTAAAGTTAAACGAGAGAGAGAGATTTACTATACTTGCGAACCGGAATTTACGGCTCAATTCGGATAATTTGGAAATATTTAAATTGAGTTCGAACAGTTTTCCCATTCCCTTGGTGGGGGGAGGGGGGGGAGGAGAGGGGGGCATCGTTTTATATTTTTTAAAATAAGGATAAATCAAAAACAATAGCAATTGTACTATTTAATAATTTAGTGGGAGAGGAAAGAGGAGGGAATTAATATTTATGCATTTCTGCTTTAAATCTTGTAAAAATATCGATGAGCACTTCCTTCCTTCCTTGTAGAATCCTTGGAAAATTTCTCAGTGAACCAATCCGTCGGACCAATCCGTCGGAATCCTCTTCCTGGAAGTCTAAGGATGGTTTTCGAGAAAGAAGTCCAAGGTAGGCTAAATTCATCGCATCGGTATTTATATAGTTTCATGTAATTATATATGAATTTTAGGTGAAAAACTCATGACGGAAGGAGCGAATTCTACGCGGCATACCACGTCAGTTGCGTCATTTCATGACTTAATTGATTGTTTGAGAACACGTCTTCACGCTTCCATCGACGAAGAGTTCACTTCATTTGAGCATTGTGTTATTCCATTATTGAACCATACAAATCCGTCCGAGGTATTTTCTCTTCTATTTTTTTTGCTTTTTTCCTTTGAAAAGTGGACCACAGAATAAATTTTCCTATATTTCGGTTATTTGGCACCGAAAATTATGGATCATATTGCCACAGTTTTCATATATTTTATTGCTATTACGTATGGTTAATGCTTACCATTTCTAAAACTCGCTGCACTGGTTGCTTGTACGATGAACAGTTTTTATCACTTCAACGAATCACTTGGCCATAGAAATCTCAGCAACACCAACAAGTCACCAGATTTTTTAATGACATGTTTATTCTTATCAGAGGAAGTATCCTATTTTCTAACACCAAGCTTTTCCACAGTCGACTATTTTGTTCATTTAAAATAAAGATTAATTCAGAATATTTATTACAATGACGTGAGCAACGCTACTCGGTTATCTTATCTCCTGATAATTCCCATTAAGAGTGCTAAGTTATAGCCGGAAAAATATTAAGATTTTGACGAAATTCTTCAATTTTTTTTGCAATTTAGAAATATTTTTTTCGATATGGTACTTTATTTACATTTTAATAATTTTACAAATTTAACACTTTTATAAACAATCATCTTAGCTATTTTTTATCAGCTGTTGTGGATGATAAATGAATGCAATTAATCTCTCTTAATTTAATCTCAACAGAAAATTGAAAATTGAACATATTTATTGTTTTTTATTCAAAAAGACAATTTTAAACTGATTTCGAATAAGAAATCCAGTTTATCGCGGTGTTTGTCAAAGTTTTTTCCGCGGACCTCCTAGATGGTGTACTAAAAGTCCATGGACCGCCATGTAATATTTTCAAATTTTAAAAAATCTCTTAAATTCTTCAATTTCAATGAATATGCACAATTTAATCACTAAAAACGATTTGTTACTAATCAAACAGATTAAAAGAGAATCGCCATAGAAGACCAGTAGAAGGCCAGAATACTGGCATGACGGTCATTAACCGCCGTTTTTGTCATTATGTGATTCATTATAAATTCCATCATAAAATGATGCCATAGTTTATTAAGTGGTAGCTTATCTTGATCTGAGACTTTCCAATTTCCTTGGGGAAGATTTGAATCATAAAAGTACAGTGTTTAAGATCAAGCCATTACCTTTTATTAAAAGTCGTAGGAATCCGAGGTAACCCGCTTATTCTTCTGTACCCAAATAACTTTCTAGCAAAAGGTTATTCTGATAGCAAAGGGAGAAAATATGTCATTATTCCAATTTCAATTTAAAGAGCATCGAAAAGGTTGAATGACTCGGTGGATTATTGCTCTTATTTCAGAGTACTGGTACTTTGATATGAGTATTCTTTCAAAAATTCAAGTGGTACTAGCTATCCACACGTTCCTCTATCGCCAAGTGGTTCTCTGACAAAAGGCCTGGGTTCCGAGAAGCACCTTAGCGATCGTAGGAAATGACGAGTGCTGGGAAAATTTATTTTGTTTAAATTTTCATTATTAGAAATTATTTTCGTGTATCAATGATGATTCGATGGATGACGAATATGCGACTTGGACTGAACACGATAATACTGAATCGTTGTCGAATGAAATCGAAAAACAGCACGAAACAAGAAATGATGAAATGATCTCTTCTGGAGATGGCACTAGTAACGATATTATTGATATACTTAATAGAATTCTTTCTCATTCAGCAAATATTCTCTTGAAGGCAATCCATCAAAATCTTAATTGTTAAGCTATTTTTATTTTCACTGATAAGCTAATGACTCTTATCATTTAGATTAGATTATCACATCAATATCATTTAGATTATCATATTTCTTGGTCATTGATGAAATAGAAATTTTTTATTTTTTATTTTATAAAAATATTTAGTTAAAATAGTTAATAGTTAAAATAGTTAAAATTATGAATTTCGGTCTGAAAAATTTTCTTATAACTGATGGGTTTTTACAAAAAGAATCAAAAGATTATACTTATCTAAATTTTTTTTTTACTGATAAGCTTATTATTCGATTCGATAAATTCAATATTATTCAATATCATTATTTGTAAATTATTTAATTCTACATTGTATTGGCGAATATTTTTGTAGATTTATTCCATTAATTTAGATTTATTTTTCTCATGGATTATTCTATTTATAGTAATTATTGCTATAATAATTATTGAAAAAATAATTGCTATGAATTGCACTGATTGTATAATGTTAATACCAAAATACAATATAATTTTAGTACCAACAATGCAAGAAAGTCTGATCAAAACATGGTACCTAATAAAAAAAAATTTATATAATATCATAGCAATAAAATTACGAGAAATATTCCAAAGATTTAGAATGAAAAAATTTAATTTTTTTTATTGCAAAGTTATGAAACTAAAAATGAATTATTGAAAGCAAGTCGGTTAAATTAAAAATTTTTAAATCTTCGTGGACATGGACAATATTCGGCATCTTTTCCTGGTTCACCTTCTTCACCTGCAGGGCCTTGTGGTCCCTAAAAGTTTAGAGGTTACGCTAGTAAAATAATCATTTTTTATTTTTTTTTACATTATTTTTACATTTATTTTTATTTTTACATTATTGTCTTTTTTTCCATAATTTTTATTTTTTTTGAACAAGTGATTTGTAAAAATGTTATCAACTAACCGGTTTCCCATCTTCTCCTCTCGGTCCTTCTGGCCCGCGGTCTCCTGGTGGTCCTGTCATACCTGGTGGTCCTGCATCGCCTATTTCACCAATTTCTCCAGGTTCACCTTCCACTCCTGGTTCTCCTTTTAGTCCTTTCATTCCCATAACGTGCTCTGCATTTTCCCCACGATCACCTTGCGGACCTTCCTCACCTGGTGGTCCTGGTGGTCCTTCCGGTCCCATCTGCAATGTTTCATAGAATTTTTTCATTGTACGGACTTCTTTCTATGTAAAAATGATTAGAGCGGTAGACGGTAAAGGCGAAATACGAATGCAGTTTGCAATACTTTTTTTTCCGTATGTCGAAATCTTTATGGCTACAGCAGAATCAATATCAAAGTGGATTTTCGCTTTAGGCGGTGGAAGAAGTGGATTCTGTTGCTTTTAAATACGGTATTCATCTATTAGAAGAAGAAAAAGTGCCTGGCCAGGAAATCCCGGTTGTCCATCTCGCCCTGTTGCACCAGGTGTTCCTCTTGCACCTCTCATGCCTCTATGTCCTGGTTGACCTGGTGGACCAGGTGGTCCTGGTTGACCTGGCGGACAATAGAAGCATTTGTCGACCATTGCCACTCTCATTTCCATATCTTCAGCATGATGACCAATGTCTCCATCCTGTAATTCCCATTATTAATTTCAACAAATGATTCATGATTAGTTTCCCTCAGATTCGTCATTATTCAAAAATTATAGTAATCTAATACAATCTGTGAATTTTACGTAATTAATAGGTAAGTTATTAAATCTTATAAATTTTATAACCAGTCCGTCTTCAGCATGGTCTCCATCTATACCAGGTAATCCAGGTGGACCTGGTGGTCCTGGTGGACACTGATTTTTTGCGTCGCATTCACATTTTCCTGTAATTTTATTGCAAAAAATTCATTTTTTGTTCACAATTAATGATTATGAGCCTAAAATTGTGAATAAATTTGGTACTATTTGCCTTTATACATTGGTGAAGACTTGAATGATTCTCATTAGCTTTAGAAATACTATGAAGAAAAGTCTCACTAATCATTTCACGTGGTTCGAAGTTTGGACGTTTTAGGGATGGTCCAGTGGCACCGATTGAATTATCTGAATAAAATTTAATAATCTAAATAAATTATCAATTTCTTTACTTCAATATTTATTTTAAAATAATTAAATGTTTTTTCATTTCTTTGAATTTTTTTATTTTTTAAATATTTTTCGTGGATGACGAGAAAATGTTCCCATGTTTACCAAAGGTTTAAAGTCGTAGTAAGTTTATGTTATTTGATGCAGAGATAAGAACCGAAGCTGAAAAGGTTATTTTTCTTTCGTGGATTTTCATTGACGACTAGTTTGCAGCCGTCGCGAAATTCAGATTTTATATAAATGCTGAATAAATTTATTTCCTACCGTTGTCACTATCTAAAATTGGCTGCTCGGGTGCATCGATTCCTGCCACCGAGGAATAACTTCCACGGGCGATATCAGCTGAAATTCGCTGTTCAAATATTGTCAATTAGTTGTTTTAAGGTGTCAAGTAGGACGAATTTAATTTTTTTTGTTACTGGATGCTTTCATTTTTTTCATTTCCAGGATGTCTAACAAACTAAATATTCATCCGTAATAATAATAATATAAATCCATAAAATAACTGAAAAAATTCAAAATAGCAAAATTTACCAAAAATCTGAAATCTGATATAAAAAATAAAAAATAAAGAAGGCAAAAATAAATTGTGGTGTAAGTAAAAACATTGACCTGGAAATGATTGATAATAGGATTGCCTACGGTCTCGCCTATTTGCGCCCATCTGTATCATATCCTTCCACAGGTCGTTGGATCTAGCCTGTTTCAATATAAAATATTAGTTGATTAAATAATGGAGGAATTCGAGTATATAATATATATATATATATATCACCTCAATTATATTGACTGCTAATTTCATTAACTCTTTTAACGTAAGGTCATACGGGGAAAAGCGAAAATTTGGAACTTTGTCAGTGATAATATAGGAATTCACTGATTAATTAATAATTGCTGCAAGAAATTTTTATTATTTTCATTTTTTATGCTATGAAAGCAAAAATAATGCTTCTCAAAATATGACCTTAATATTATCAATCTCCAAGTCGAGTTCCAACTCGATATTTCGAATTTCATCAAATAAAGTTGAAATAGCGAATATTAAAAAGCAAAGAACGCAACAACCAAGTCCTGCTGCGAAAGCAACAGTCGTTTTATTTGACATCTAAAAATGCAAATGGTACTTATATTTGTGACCTGAACTGAGAGTGATTAATAAAAGTTGGTCGCAAGTGTAAATTTTTATAGGAACTTTGCATGCAATGGCTAAGTTAAAACTTATCTCACATATTTCATATAAGTTATATGTGGAATATTTGTGGAATAGAAATTTCTCAAAGAACTTCATAGTAAAGGGCGACGTTGGAAAATCAATTTGGTCTCTAAGCTGGACAAACGCTGATCACATGCAAATCACCTATGTCAATTCCACGCAAACCGAATATCTCTAATTCCAAGGAAAGAAACAATAATCATGCGAACAGTCGAATAAGAATGCATTAATCAAACTCATAATTCGCCAAATAGGTCGCATTTTATCTATAAAAATCGTCGAAGAACTTGTTGATAATATGATTGTAAAAGTCAATGGAATTGAATTTCTTCGGCGGTGATGAACTATATTAATGCCCCATAACTTAATAAATGACCTAAATTAAAGCGGATAAAAGGCAAAAGTGACAGATTAGTATCTATAGTCATATTAATATTACTGTCAAATATTATAACAACGTTTATCCACAGATCAAGAATTTATTTTAATGCAAAGCGTTGTCCACATGAGAATAGATGGTGGATTGTTTTCTCAAGAACAAAATCATGTCCATAAGTGTTGCTTGGATAGTCAGTTTGGTTAAATATACCAATATAAATGTCAAAAAGTCTTTGAATCGGATTGCAAGAGAACGGCGTTAGGAATCATGTCAAATTCTCGAGCTAAAAAATTTAGGTCACAATATAATATTTTAAATAACTATAAGATCTACTCCACTGTTTTCTAGCACGAATAAACTATCTTCGAACTAACTAAATTTCTTTTTTAAGCCAAAATCCAACTTTTATGCCTTTTTCTATAAGGATATTCTGTGACGATGATATCTGTGGAGTCGAAAATATGGATAATTTCTAATAAAATTATGATAAAAGATAAGGATAAAAGAATTCAAAGCATTCAATTCACACATAATGACTCCAATCAAATCGTAATTGTCATAAAGAAATTAATGATAAATTAATGAAATTAATGAATCAACTTGGAAGTGATAATAACAAGTGATATTATTTCTTTTCAACACCGACGAATTCAGTTGAATTATTAAATAAAATAAAAAGTTAAGCTGATTTAGAGCAAAAGTATTTATTTTATTCCTTTTTCGTACAAAGCGAGAACAATAATGAATGAAGAAAACAATGCGTAAAAAATTTAAAAATTTAAGAAAAAATTTAGGAACAACAAAAATTCGATTTTGAATGGCGACGGCAAAGTTCGAAAGCCTGAATCTTAGTAATGAGATGATTTTGGAATTCCCGAATTTTCATACAAATTTAAGTCTTATAAATATTTTTTCTCGGAATTCCTTAAATAAAAGTTTATGAAGTTTTCTAAAATTATGGCCAAACAAAGCAAAAAAGCCAATATTAAATATTAAATTAGCGTTATTAATATTAAATAATAAACTTATAAACAATATTAATAATGTATAATTAATATTAATTAATATTAATAATGTAAATAATATTTCAATATTTAAAATTTAGAAAGTATTTTTTCATTTCATATATTCCTAAATTATAATTACATATTAATAAATTATTAATTATAAATGTAAATAATGAATATTATGCAATTATGAATGAATAACTGTGAATATTAAATTTGTCAATTTTAAAAATATTTTGAGAAAACAACTCGTTCATCTAAAGAATTATAAATAGGTGGTAAATTTGAGTTTTGGTTTAAATATTAAAATATAAAATATTGATAAATTCAAAGCGAAAGAGTCTCTTAAAATGTCCGGTGAATAAAAAAATCCTCGCATCCCATCCCGATTTTTGCCTAAATCATTGACATAGAGAGAGAGAGATTTAGAGGAAATCCTGAAATCTTTATGAATTCATTAATTTTCTTAAGCTGAAATTTTTTTTATAGATGGCATCTCACTCACACATATTCAGACAAATAAGCCAACGGAGAAAGAAAATTTATTAATTGCCTGAGGCATAAACTATTCATAGCATTTAATAATCTACAATATGATAATTTTCGATTCTTCTTCCATATTTTTTCTCTTTAAATGCGATCATAAAATCATAGTTTTATGTTCTTTTTGAATTTTCGATTGCCCTTTATTCGCGATGTAACCAATTTGCTTTTACGTTATCAGTTATAAGTTATCAGTTAATCATTTCAATTGGAATCTATTAGTAATTTTTTATAAACTGCGGCTTTTTTTCTATTATCACTATTTTTATTATAGAATTACAAAAAATAATCGCTGAAAACTCGTTGTGCAGAGAAAATAAAGAAGATTTAATAAATTAATTAATAATAAATATTCTTTTCATCAAATTGAGATTTCAAATTAAGTTTGCTCTTCAAATTTTCATCAAGGCTATTGAGATTGTCGATTGTATGAATGTTAACCGCGATATTAATTCGCCCATTTCTCGCTAATATTGACGGTCGTATTGTTGTCATTTTATAAATCTTCAATTTTTGCGCACATTCACATAGGTTAAGGCATTGATATCGGCAAATATATAGAAACATATCTTCGTCAATCACCTAAAAAATTAAAATATTAATATTTTTGCATAAATATTAATAAATAAAGTATTATTAATATTTCATTTAAATCCCATTAGGAATTTAAATCATTCATATTTGTAAACTTATTTTTCATTTGAAACAAATAAATATAATAAGCAAATTAAAAAATTATAACGCAAAGAAATTAAACATCTGTTAACTTATTTAATGCTCTTATTTCAGAGCGTCGATGCTGGGATTAAACTCCAGGCAGAAGTAAATCTATCGTTCAAAGACTCAACCGATTGGTCCGATAAGTTCAATGGTGCAGAAATGGTACATTCAGCATTGGGGTGCCCACAAAAACGTACTATTTTATATTTGAATCAAGAGGGGAGGAAACTTTATAGGAAACTTGTATCTTTTGATATTTATTGAAAATAAATGAAGGGTGAAATCTTTTCAACATTACGAAGATTTCTATACGTCTTTTTTAATGGTACTATTTGTTGGTGCTGCAGCCAATCATTATAGCAGAATTTTTGTTTCACCTCAAATACATCACGTTTAAAATCTCGATGAGTTCGCAAAACGAAATGGTGAAGGCCGAACAACACTAATGGAAAATTGAAGTACGGATAGACGATAGGGTAGCGAAAAATCCTGAATGCATACAATGGTCCAAAAGTCATATCTATTGCACTAATCTGCAAAAGTTTGATCAAAATTGAGAAAATTGCATATTTAAGTTTTTAGCTTTTCTTATATTTCTGACTTAAATTGAACTTTTTTACGATGAATTTATGAAAAAAAAGTCGGTGGTAATCCGCTTAGCGTATAAAGGAATGCTAATTGCTAATGTGTTTCTAATATTTATCTATTCATCCTTTAATAATCTTTAAATAACCTTCTTCCTAAGAGTGCTCACTATTTTTCCCTGCTGGCTTGTCGGTCTAAACAAATTTTGAAAATTCTTGAAAGATATGCCAGTAGTGGAACCTCAGTTTCGGCATTCCGAAATGAGAACAACAATTCGTTCTAAGAAGGAATCAAGTCAAGTGCTTTAACTTAAATGTTAAATATAATATAAAAATTGGCTATTACCGTTATGACAATTAGGTAAGAAAACAAGGCAAGAAGTGCGACAAATAAATTTTTAACGTCCTGGTAGAAACCATGTTCATAACCACAGCTAACTAACCTGAAACCATAGAATATATGGAAGGGACCTAAAGAGAACGGTACCACTTTCCACAAATTTAAATTATAGTTGCAAAATAAGAGCGTACTGAGTGCACAGTACCATAATTGAATTGTATTACTTTAATTTTAGATATTCAAAGAAGGCTTCGAAAACTTACATGAATAAACTATATAAATCCCTGATAAATGGTGAAATAAGCAAAATTGAGCAAATAAAGTTGATAAATAAAAAAGCGAAATGAGCGCCAATGCCTTCCAAAAATGGCTTACAGAATTCTCTGCAATATACAATTCTTATTTTTTTTTAAAATTTTAAAATTTTAATTTCAAAACTGGCAAAAAAATTATCAACTGAAACTTTTTAAATTGTTTTAATTCATTACTCATTATTAATAATAAATTAGCCTTTATACCATCTTAAACCGTTAGGCATTCTATATTTGCCCGAATCAAAATTGCGAGGATTTTATCCGAAAAAGGCCACGGAAGATAGACGAGAACTGGAGAATTCGAGAAATTGTCGTTATAGAAATTTCTTTTCGGAGAGTGCTCACCAGTGTTATAAATTTAAACTTGTTTTGCTGGCTTTAGGAGCAGATAGACCTTTCTGCTTGGTGAGTAAAAGTGAGCCAATATTGCCCCGATTTTTGAAAGATAGGGGTGTCGTTCTGGAAATGGAAACCTTAGAGCGATATTCTTTAAAAGGAATTCGTCAGTAACAAAAAAAAAATTTAAGACTGAAAGCGAATTTCTTTGGAATTTGAAAACGCAGAAATTTGATTACGGTTATAATCACATTAATTTGTTTACTGAATAGTGATTAATAGAATGAAGGAAAATATTTTTGTTATTTTTATATTCCCAAATAGCAATTATCAAAATCCGGAAATCCTTTAAAAAATTCCTTACGAATTTCCTTCTTCGGTCTTTTTTCATTCAAAAAATTTTTTTGAAAATTTCTATTATTATTAGTCAAAAATAAATTATTGTTTCCATCTCTCAAGAAATAAATAATTGAAATTTGAAAGAATTTAAGTACTTTTTTAAGCACTTCAAAATAATTGAACAAATTGAGCAGTAATAATAAAAAAATTTATAAATTTATTCGTTTTGATTGAATAAAAATTAGTGCAATTTAAAAAAATATAAATTTAAAAAAAATAAATAAAATAGAGAGAAAAATTTGAGTTTTTTTGAGTGGTCAAAAATAAAAAAAGTATTCTTTCATCCGTTAAGGAAATGAAATGAATCTTAAAGAAGGATTATTGCCAGTTTAATGAACCATTCATTAAAGGATTTGAGAATTTGACGCAAAAGCAAACGGATGGAAATTAAATTACCTGGATAGAAGGGGTATTGAAAGTACACCATTCATGTATAAACCAGGAAGTTCTTTCCTCACTGAACATTCGCCAAAGCTATTTAAGCGCATCATTTCGAATTTATATGAAACGAACCGCAAACTATTGAATATTGCGAATAATAAGAGAGCGCGACGTTGATGGAAACACATCATATCGACATTTTTAGATATTTCATGAAAAACACTGAAATAAGTTGTGGTTTTATCTTACAAAGTTATTTAAAACTATTAGTTAATAATTAGAATTATTAAATTATGTTGAGTCCTCAGGAGCACGATAGTTGAAGTCAGACATCGCTTCAGCTAGGATCAAGAGGGTTCGAATATTGCTCTTGAATTGCTCAGGAATGAATGTGCCATAAAATTTCTGCTGGCTGCTGGGGATCCATCGGTAGTTGTATATCTATAGCGAATAAAGAATCACCTTAATACCGGCGAAACTAATTAAAATAGGAAATCATATTGCTAGAGATTGAATAGAGCCGACACCGTTTCGTGATAAATTCCAAAATTCCAATATATGCTGCACCGTTATCAAATGGTGAAAAATTACTTATTTTTCTAAATTCTTTACTAATTCTTATTGAAGAAATAAAGGATTTTAAAGATTTTCACCCACCCATGTATAAAATGCAAATGAAAGGTGGATTTCCAACTCAGAAAACCTTGAAATATCTGGGAAAGACTCGTCGGGAAATTATTATTAAAAGGAAAATCCGCATCTTTCTGATTACATTATTTTCTATGGCTAATATGGTTGTGGAAAATCTATCGTTAGTCGTCCATGCCTAAGGTATATTTTAATATCCTCCAAACGGGTAGAACGTGTTCGCATGACTGTAATATCTTCACATGTTCTTTGTCGCCTACAACAGAGATTTGGGATTTGTGCACATCTCGCCAATTGCTAAACGGTTTGATGGTGGTCTTAAAAGCATGGGAGGATAAATAAATAAGTTCTGATGTGGTTAAGGAAGAATGTGAATTTATAAGCAGCTCAGCGATATACGAACTAAGGTGGGCTGAAAAAGTGGCTTCAGGCAAGTGACTAAGCCTTTTAATGGCTACGAATCGAGACTTAGACTGCTACAATCAGGAGAGATTTTGCTCAACAATATATAGCTTAGGCAGCAGAAAAAAGAGTAGTAGCTTTTGAAATGGATCGAGCGAACTGCAAGAGTTTTACTCCCACAGTCAGCGGGACAAACCTAACCGATGCGAATTGTTCGGAAAAGAAAAGTCTTGAAGAAGAATATTAAACTCTCAAGTCCGACTAGAGGGAAAATATTGAGTTAACTCGAATTTTTACAGTTTTACAGTTTTCTCAAAACGAGGAGAACCTGGCATTCGAGCACGACCGCATAACGACTGGTTCAACGTGAACTGAGATAACTGATGAAGCAAATAATAAAACGGGTACGAAGAAGCAGCTTCCAATGCAAACCAACATGTCTAGAAAGCAGTATAAGCATGGCATCTAAATAAATCATATTTTAAATTTTCCTTTCAGCCTTTCGGCTCATTCATAATAAATTATTACTACTCGACATAACATGCTAATTGCGCATGAATTTATTTTTTTCTTGACTAAAATATTTCATACTTTCAACATTTCAATTAATTTCACGAATTTATATCTTTTTCTACTTCGGAAACAGCGAACAAAAACAAGAGTCTCTTAGCAAAAGCAAAAGATGCTATTTAAAGTGGAATGCGAGTGGCCGCTGGCGATCCCCTGCACCTTTATTCCTGAATGGATCGCTGGTAACACTTCGGTGACACAATTATATTAGGCGAAAAATTTTATATATCTTTCTCTTCTATATGCTTTTTTAAAAAATTGACAATTAATCTGGCAAATTTTTTTTTCGGATTTTTCCAATTTTTTCAAATAAAAATAAATAATGCAAATTTCCAAGAAAACTTTCAATTAAAAAAAACCGATAAAACCGACAAAACAGCGATGGAAAACTGATGCTGCTGAGAGATATTTCATTTAATCTGATTCACTTTGACTATAATCTTAGCTAAAATAGAAATATTTCACCATTTTTGATGAGATTCGTTCCACCGGTTATTAGTAGGACTGACACAAAATAGTTGAATAATAGAAAGCACAAATGGGTTCTCAGCTCCATTCCAGATTGAAGTAAGGAAATTAGATGATATGATCGCTTGCATAATATTAATGTAAAGGGATTTTCAAAAAATTAAAAAATTGAAATCGAAAAAAAGTTATCAGTCATATATTTCATGCTCTAGAAGGTTGTGGAAAACACTGAACTTTGAAATATTGAAATTCTTTAATGAATTTCCGTTCGTTTCTTACCGTCTATTATAATTCAAGGAGGCGTTTCGAACATTATGGGGCAACGAGATTCAAGAAATCAGGAAATATGCTTGAAGACAAGACCGAGTGCCAGTGTAGCAAACCACCTAACTAAATATAGTAAAAGAGAAAGGAAAATTTATAAAAATTTCAATGCTTAAAAATTTAAAAATTTTTTACCGTAGAATTTTCAGAATTTTCTCAAAATAAGAATATTTTTTAATCGAATTATTTTTAATCGAAATGGATATACAATTTCGAATTCGGAATGAGTAAATATTTAGCGATAATTAAAAGGAAAAAATTCGAGTGGCGAATATTCAGTTTTTAGAAAGTCTTTCCTAAATAACTAAATAAATAAAAAAAGTAAGTAAATAAAGGAAAAGTTTATTGATGGGCGTTTGTTAACTCATTTTAGCATTTTTTCGCAGAAACTTTATTGAATTATTGAATAGGGAACTTTGGCCAATAAATCTTTCAAAATTCCCTAAATTTGTCCAGAATTAATACGAAAATCAAAATCAGATGTCATTTTAAAGTTATAAGATAAAATCAAAAAATCAACCGAGCATAACAGGCCACTTCAGAGATATGACATTTAGCGTGGACAATTATCTTTCGCCCGAAACAACTTTAACTGATAACTGATTCCATTTGCCTATTAGTTTTTGTTTTTGCCTTAAAATTATCTTAGTTTCGTGTTAGAATATTACAATTCAATATAATAAATATAATCTAATTATAACTATAAATTATTTCCTTTTTTTCGGTGCTGGATTACTTTATCTACCAATATCTGCCAGACTCTATATCCAGTTTTGCCTATATCAGCCAATATCTATCAGGCTCTGTCATTTAGTTTTGGTTATTTTAGCCAATTATATTGTGGTTTCGTATAGTTCACTTTGCTAGTTATTTTTACTTTATGTTTTTATTTTTACTTTGTGTTTTTTACTTTACTTTATGTTTGAATCAAATTGATTGAATTGATTTAACAAATCGATTTCTATATTTTGCTGAAACAGAAGAGTCACAATCAACAATATTTATTTACAGGTTTATTTCTTATCAACGAGAGTCAAACAACGGAGAACCACACTCATATTACATGAAACTTCTTATCAACGAGAGTCAAACAACGGAGAACCACACTCATATTACATGAAACTTCTTATCAACGAGAGTCAAACAACGGAGAACCACACTCATATCACATGAAACTTCTTATCAACGAGAGTCAAACAACGGAGAACCACACTCATATTACATGAAACTTCTTATCAACGAGAGTCAAACAACGGAGAACCACATTCATATTATTTGAAACTTTCGATTTTACTGTAAATCTCTATAAATCGTGTGCAATATTTTCTCAGTGGCATGAATTTGATTCATTAGAATCGCAAAATTTCGTTATATTTGCAAAATATTAGTCTATCGAATTTAATTAATTTAATTTCATCCTTCTAAAGGCATATAAAAGAAGAAAAATGCTGCTTTTCCCCTTCACATGAAACAAAATAAACTATGCTTCTCCTCATCTGCTGAATAAGAAATTTGATGCAAATCAAATTGTTCATTTATTACGTGCAAATCGGTTATTTGCAGACGAGCAAAAGCTTATGAAAACAGAACCAAAATTTAATAATTAATGCTATCAGAAAATTCTCAAATAATTAAAATTTACTTTAAGTTGAATGAATTTTGAGAAAAATGAGAAATTTTGATGAAAACGAGAAATGAAGAAAAATATTAATCAATGAAGCAATATGATTAATGATATTAGATCGCCCTATCAGCACATATCAGTTAAAAATGATGAATTTGGCCAAACTTGTGATTTCTTACGTTACATGATTTTATTGAGAGATCATGGAGGAATAAGTAGGGAATGGCATTGACTAGTCCATGAACAACCTTACAGATCGACCACCCTAGCCCAATTGTTTTTAATTTATCGTTATAAGAAAGCTAAAAAACCGTTGGAACCTTCCGTTCGCGAGTGGAGAATAATTTTAACAATGTTGTTAGCAACCTTACTTCCTCAATTACCATAATATATAAATTTTGTAAAGTTGACTTTAAAGTTTAGGCCTAAGATTTCCAAATAAATAGCCAATTGTGGCAAATTATTGTCTCGGAAAATCTCGGAAAAAGAATTTTTTGCTGTGGAGATCATAAATTTAAGATTTAATTAAATTCTCTAAGACAATCAGAAAGTCAAATTGGAGGAAAATTTTTCAGAGATAAGTAGGAAAACGTTAGAGAAAATTTAAGTTTCGATTCTAAAAAATACAAAATTAAAAATAACAAAATTAAATAGCAAGGAAATTAAATAAGAAGTTCCAAACATAGCTATGCTATTTATATATATTTGATAAATATTGAGAACATGAATGGGCCAAAATGCCTTCCTCCCGAAATTTAAGTGGAGGGTTATTTTATTTTATTCATAATTCTTATCGGTGCTTTCTAATAATTTTAGAAGCATTTATCCAGTACTTCGGCACGTATTCCCATATTAAAAACGGAATTCAGATCGACGAGTGCCATGGGATTTGGCTGCATAAAGATAAGTGACGCATTATTTCCATCAAGCAATTTTGATCAGCTCTCGATGCATTGGGTGGTCTTCGTCGAACTATTAACTATTTTTCACTGAACGATTAACAATTAGCTAAATAGTTAGCTAAATAAGATTAAATGCGCTAAAATTAAATTAATCTCTCAAAAGTCCTACAAGTGACACTAATAAGCCTATAACCCCTCTTAAAACCGCTCCATTGAGCGGCTAAACATGGATTGTTTTCCGCAAGCGTGATGAATGAATGTCCCCTCGATTAACACATCGATCGACAGGAGGAAGAAAGGAATAAAGAAGTAGGGGAAGTTAAGTAGTTCCTAAATAAAATCTATGGAAGAAAGCCTTTCGCAGCAAATTCGTTTAACGTTTTTATGAACGCAGTTTTCTTCGCGAACAACAAAATCTGCCCAAATTCCCGAATTCTATTTTCTATAAAAACGATGTATTTTAAAAAATAATAGCAAAATAGAGGGGAAATAAATTTATGCATCGAATATTATTTATTATGAATTTTTAAAAATGGAAAATAAAATCTTTTATATTAAAAAGCATTCTTATAATTAAGCAATTAAAATGTGTTTTAAAAAAATCGAACCAAGTGAAATAAAGGTGAAAAATAGCGAATTTCGAATTAAAATAATATTAAATGGAAAGAACCACAGTGCTAAATCCTCAATCCTCATGCTTAGACTATTCCAAACTTGTGCAACAATTTTTTTGTCATCGTTTTTTGCTGGAATTAGTCAGAAGTGGCTTGTCGGAGCAAACAAATCCTCCTAGGGCGATAGAAATAGAGTTTGATCGGCAGCGTTCCGATTTCCAAAGAATTGAATTTTCCAGTATCGGCGCTTCGAAACAATAATGTTCTAGCCTATAATAATGTTTTAGTTTTCTTTATTTTTCAATAAATTTAGAAAATTTCATCGATTGTTTTTTATGCAAAATAAGTAAAAATAAGTAAAAACATGGGTATAAAAATAAATGAATATAAAATAAAAATAAATGAGTATAAAATATAAAAATAAAATAAATAAAATAAATTTAAAATGCAAAAATAAAAATATAAAAAATAAAATAAATATAAAAATAAATATAAACATAAAAAATAAAATAAATTTTGCGAAACAGGCGCGAATCGACTAAGGAAAATTTCGAAAGTACCGCGGTTCCAATCTCGATCAATGCTTTTCCCCTCTTTCCTTTCTGTGCAAATGTGGAATCGCCAAACCAATCAGCAAAGAAATTAGCGAAAATATGAAACAAAAAAGTTAGCTGGAATTTAGAAAATTTTTTTGGGAATAAAGCAAGACAACCAGTTGAAACATCGTTTTTATAGGATTTAGCACTGTGGTCTTCCTCTTCCAATAGTCACTTCATTCATTCAGCCTCCTTCTTTCACCTGGTACCAAAATGATTTCCCTTCATTAGAGAATCAACTGGAGATGCATTTCCAGCATCATACGGATTTCATTTCGAGAAATGATTCTTATCTTCTAATTAAGGAAGACCAATCGAAGCAATAATACTTGACAATTTTCCAGTTGCAAATTATATGATTATGAAAGGCAACAAGCAGTTATTACCTTAAAATATTTCGATCTGCCGGAATTAAAAAGTTAAAAACTATTATCAGTAAAAAAAAATAAAAATTCGATTCATCTGCAAAAAAGCCAGTCAAATGAAAGATAATAAAGTCAAGTTAATCATTTAATCAGACTAAAAATTTGCATTCGCCCAGCAGCATTCGGTTTGCGTGGCTCCATTGGTTATTGGAATAAAACTGACTGGCACTTTTCTGCATTCATCTGAGATTCTCTCATCTCTTCCATGCGAGCTATGCGATTCAACGCCGCTCCACTCGACTTTTAATGAAATTTTATCACCACAAAGGGATATAAAGTAAAAATCTACGATGATTTGAAACAATAAACCATTCATTTTATTTCCAAAAAAATACACTCTAAGAAACAAAATCAACGAAAAGGAAGGAATTTGTCGATGAGAATATTGGAGAATTTTGGAAATTCTAAAGAATGTTGGATTATATTGAAGAAATTTGAAGAACTCGAAATTGCAAAAGTAAAATTCTTAGAAATTAATAAATATTTGCATTAAGCCTTTGACCTAGGAAACTCTTTTATTATTAGCCTATTTGGATTGTTTCGAGCTAAATTCCTCGTGGGCTTAATTAAGTACTGATGAATGAATGCATTCAGGAATGAATAATTACCAACGAGCTGAACGACATATCGTCACTGCAAACGAATATTGCTTACCAGAATCCGCGAACAACTCCACTTTGATGAATAATTCATTAGGCTTCAATTCCATTCTGATGGTGCTTGCCCTTCTGTCACCAAATGAGTCCTTTATCGATCTTACTAATAGCAAATATAACAAATAGCAAACCTGAAAATAAAGTAAACTGCTTTTTATCTGTATTTTCCGAATTAAGCTCGGAGGATGACTGTCCGAAACGGCAAAAAGCAAAAAGAGTCAACGGAGCACGAAAAATTACAAAAAAGGTGACACAATGAAAACCGTGACAGCTGATGATGCAATGAGAGATATAAAAGCCTTACACCCTAAGCCCAAGGAGCGGAAACGCCAAACCAGCCTTCTTGCTTTCGCCATTTCGCGACAATAACCATGTTTTCTTAAGCATTGGCGAGGCAGTTTTTTCATTTATTTTTTCATTTTTATTTTTGACAGAATAAATTAAAAACCGCAGAATACAAATTAGCAAAATCAGAAAAAATTATTTATTTCGAAATTACACCTGAATAGGATATAAGAAACAGAATACACCTGAAGAGAAACATTAGCAAAAAAGAGTGAATAAATAAACAATCTACGAAGTCGCACTGGTTTAACGTTTTTGTAATGGCTTTGTAATTCAAAACAATAAAAATAAAACGGTGCAAATGAAAATCAAAATGCATGAATGAGTTCTTAGGAACAAATATTTGCAATAATTAATTTTCCACTATAGATGAGATAAAAATAAAGAAATCAAAAATATTTAAAACAAATATTTAAAAATATTTAAAAGGCATATATAATTGTAATTTAATACAATTTCCACAAGCTGAAATCACAGAAACAAAAATTTAAATAAATAATCGGTAACATTTTAAAGAAACTATTAATCATCAAATGGGAATGAGCAAAAAAAATTTTTGCTACATTACTAGATAGATGTGGCTAAGTTTTTTTTTCTTTTAAGAATATAACAATGATTCGAAAATTAAAAAGCATTTTGCACAAAGCAAGTTTATATACTACAACTTCATTCCACACAAAATATTACTCATGGAGCCTGCTGTTGCCATTCATAACCACCAGGTCTCTCGTCTTCAGGAACTGGTATTAATGGTGGTGGGTCAAACAACCACTTCAAGAGCTGAGGTGTTTCTAGAACTCTGAATCCATTTTGCTGAAGTGGGAAAATATCTTCCAAAAAGTAATAAAAATGACCGCAAGCAATACCTGTAATATGAAAAAAATAAAAGAAATAAAGTGAAGATTAATGATTAATGAAAATGCCACATTCTAGAAGTCCCATTGCTTAGAAATGTTCATTTATTAAGTAGTATTATCATAACCTAAATAACCTAAACAAATTACTAAAACTAAATTTCAAAACTTTAAAACCTAGAATTAAAATTTACATGTTTTGGACGGAACATTAATTAGCATTTTGGAAATATTTTATTACCTATGAAATCAACAGTTGGATTATTTCCAAGAAGAAGAGAGAACAACAGCAGAACCCATGGAAGATAAGGAGCATTGAAACTCAATACACCGAAAAAATTCATTCTAACATAAGGATTTCGCCGGCTCCAAACATAAACCAGCATAATTGTAAATGCTTGCCCAAGGAATACCATATGAACAAACGTGCCACAAATAATCTAAAATCGAGAATTCTTTAATGATCCGTTATAAAAAATAAACTGAAAAAACAAAAGGAATAATGATAATATAATCAATTCCATTTTTAAATTAGAATTAAGACTTTTTAACAAAAATTAGAAAAAAACTTTAGGTTGAAACAATACGAAAAAAAAATATTTGACTGAATCAAGATTAAAAAATCAAAGAGGTTTAGAGGTGATTATAATCACAAATTTTTTTAATAATTTTAATTAATTCTAATTTTCATTATCAAATAATTCAAGATGTGGTTTATATGCTAAAGAAAAAATTTACAGTGAAGACTGCGCCATAAAGAAACATAAAAACAAAATCAGCACGTCGTCCTCGAAATGATCCTTCTTCAAGCATCATACAATATCGATACGTAAAAATCATACTGAATAAAAAACTAAAGCCAAATACACCAAAAAAACAGAATGATGTTATAAGTCGCCAAAACTGAAATGATGATAATGATTAAGAAATGATTAAATTATATTGAGAATGAAAATATGTCTTTTAGTTACAAAAAAAGGATGGACCTTTAAAAATCCCAGTTTTTCAACCAAATCTGAGATCTCCAAAAAATATAAAATAACCAAAAAAATGAAAACCAAAAATTTAATAGTCAAACTAACTTGATATTCATAAAGAATTAAGTGCCAATTTAAATATAAATGGAATGGCGTTACAAATTCAAGTTGCTGAAAATTTCAAAGAAATTTTAAGTATATATCATTTATATATGAATTATATAAATGAAATATGAATGATTGAAAATATTATCAATGATTGTATTTGGCTCCTAACAGTTCTAATCGTAATCACATAACTAATGAAGCTGACCTCTCACCTAAGAGCCCTATAATATTAGAAACAGTTGGGACCTCACCTCAGCAATACCCGATAAATTTGGCTTAATATTATAATTATAAAAACTTAACAAAATGACAGCATATTTAACAGTAATCTCCAGTTGAATTAAATTACTAGGAAGAAGAAAAGTATTGTAGAAATAAAATTCATAAAGCACCAAAATTCTAATTCTTAAGGAAATAAGAATTTTCTTCCTAACCAAAGAATGAACCGAACAATCAAAATAACCGTATGAAAGGAAAATAAAAATAGCGAAAATGAAAATTTATACCACAGCAAGAGTGGTCAAAACACACGCCGTAGTATAGACACGGGTGACAGGTGGCATATCCTCGTAAGCCTGCCATATTGCTTGCATTCTTTAACCTAAATATGAAATAAGTAAAAAATTACTTTCATCACTTTCGTCCACTACAAGATTATATCAATAATTTCTTTTTCCTTTTCCTTTTCAAAAAATGACAATTTTTGACGACGATAAATTCGCTGGTTTTTTGACGGAAAGATCAAATGTAATAATGTAAATGTAAATGTAATAAAAATAATTATTAGCAAAAACAAATTCAAATTCAAAGTATAACAAATGATTTTTACAATCTTTTATTTATACCGATCAAGATTTAAAGAATGCAGCACCATCAAAAACAATAATGTAACCAAAAACCTGTGCCATAAAAATTTAAATAGTTAAATATCTCGGGAGAAATATTCGAAAGTTTCCTGATGAATTAATTAACTAAATCTCATTTTAAGAAATTAAAACAAAGTGAACCATAATGATAAATTTAATTTTAATTTTAATTCTCAAAATGATAAATTTTAAAGAAGATTCGAAGATTATACTAAAATTAACATTATTTGAAAAGTTTATGGCGTAAGGATTGATGATTTTGAAGTTTTTAGGAGATCAGCCAGTAACTTGTTGATGCGATCTATCATTTCGCTCGAATCTTTCATTAATCCGCAAGTAACCAGTGCATTATCATAAATCTGAAAATATGTGAGAAGTTACTCATTAAAATTTGTAATTAAGCGTAATCAAAAGTAGCATATAGTTATTATGGCATACATAGTTATTATGCATATTTATATTTATATAGTTATTATATATAGTTATGCCAAGTTCCCAATATAAAAATTCATCAAAAGATTATTTTCATTAAAACGGCAAAACATTTATATAAAATATGCTTAAGCAATTTCTTCTCATACAGTGGATGAGACATACCTGTTCAACAACTAACTGAGCAGTTTTGGGATTGGTTTTGTGAAGGCGAACTAATGAAGTAATAATGGGATGATTGAGATTAACATGAAGCGTAGGCTGTAAAAAAACAAGATGCTCTTTGTCTTTGATTTGACCAAGACGTAGAAGATGACGAGCTGCACTCATTTCTGTACGCACAGTAATCATGCATGGATGTTCGCTGGCTCGATTAGATGACTAAATTAAGAATCAATAGGAAGTTTCACACCTTTATTTCGAAAAATTAACTGAATTTTTGCATCAATATATCAAAAAAATTGATAAAAACATACCGTAATATCATGAACCTTAACGCTACCAAGTGTTACCTTCATCCAATCCAAAAGATCTTTCTTATCGACATCGCGTATGGTGGTGGTTGCTAAAAATTTAAACCATTATATAAAACATTAACCATTATATTTATATTTATTGAAAAATAAGTGAAAATAAAAAATTCACTCGTTGAAGTTTTTTCATCAGCACCCTCATTTCGTGCCCAATTTTCAACTGATTTCAGTTGTTTCATATTGAATTGTGAAAGAGATAAAAATACAATTTCATCAGCTGGATCATAAGCAAATAAGACTTCGCGGTTCTGCGATTTAAACATTTCAAAATAAGGCGAATTTTCAGCGAGTTGACGACTAAAAACAATCGATTCAAGTCGAAGTCGAACAATCGATTCAAGAAAAAAAGGCTAACTAAACTACTATAATTTGAAAGTAATTTATAAAATAATCCCTTTATTTAAAGAAAAAATAAGTAAAAAAACATCAGATTAATCATCTTTAGGATGGCTTAGAAACAACCATGGGTAGTTATTATTTTAAGCCGATTTTAATTTTTGTTGAAACTATAAAAAAAATTTCTAATAAAAAGGGCACAAGAAAAGAAAAAAATTTTTTTAACAAAAAGAAATTAATATAATTTAATCTATAATTTAGGCATAAAAAAGAAACTACAAAAAAATTTACTTCGGTGAAAAGAGGTAAAAAATTTCCTTTTGTCCTTCCTGCATTCTTTCAACATATTCTTTCAAACTTGTCTTCACTCCTTGCTTCAAATTCGACGATTCGAACAACAATAACGAACCAATTTGTTCCTAGAATCGAAAAGAGATATCATTCACCATGATGCATAAATTTATGCGTATATGCAATTAAAAATATTTTATTGAAATTTCAAAATATTGAATAGAAGAAAGAAAGCGAATTATGAACCTTTATATTCTGATCCTGTTCTAGACAAAGTCCTTCCTTGAAAAACAACGAATATCCTTTATAAAATTCATCATACTTTATGCGATCTTTCTTCATTTGACCAACGAAAAATGAAACAACTTTATCTGTCAAAGCACGGCGAAGTTTCCTGAAATTTTTAATACGAATACGAAACTTTTAAATTTATTTAAACCACTTTTAATAAGAACATTTTTTTATCTATTCCCTTTGAGATTAATGCACAAATCGACTGTATATGGGTTCATAATCGAAGTAATAAATCACTAGAAAACCTTATCCTTTTCAATTCAATTCGCATTTATTACACATCTAGGTATTCGTTTTATATTCAGGATTCAGGATTGAATTTGTTGTTTAAGAAATTTGGAGAAAAAACAAATAATTCAAAATTTAACTCACACAAGTACTGCATCCATCTGTAGCATTTCTCGACTGAGATTCAGTGGAATATCTTCAGAATCAACAACACCAATAAGAAAACGCAGATAACGAGGAATAAGCTCCTTAGCATTAGCCTTCAAAATAAATAAACTTATTGCTCAAACACTATGATATGTTGAGAATAATAAAAAAGATAGATAAAAGCATAATTATAAAAGCATAAAAAGCGAAAAAGCTGAAAATATTTCAACCTTAATAAGAACCCTTCGGGCATATAAAGAGATGCCTGAATCTTCCGCAGTGCTTGCGAATTCTATTTGCGAAACATTATGAGATGGAACATATAATAGGGCTCGAATGTTAATCGGAGCATCGATCTTAAATTAAATTTATGTGAATCAACTCGAGCAAAAATAAAATATCATTAATACCATGTTTTCAACATACTTTGTAATGGATTGTAAACTGAGGACGATCGTTAATAAGATGCGGCGAATATGTTTTAGCTAACTGTTTAAAAAACGTTTCGTGCATTTCATTGGTAACGTCTTTCGGATTCATAGTCCAAATAGCATTCATTGTATTCACTCGTTCACCATTAACTGATATTGGAACAGTAATGAAATAAGAATACTGCAAAATACATTATAGGTTATTAAAATTAACCATAAACCAAAAGAATAAAGCAATACACATAAGACCAATAGATTCCATAAAAAAGAGTGATAAATAAAGCGACAAGAAATTGGAAAACTAAAAAAACTGGAGACAACTATATAAAAAATAAAAAGCCTCAAAAAATTCTCTCAAAAAACAAATTACCTCAAAGAATTATCGAAATCTATTCGCATTTCATTTAAAGTCTGAAGAATATAAAAAACCAATTTAAAACCTTATTGATAACGTCAATTACGCGCTGCCCTTTGGCAAATTCAGCAGCATCACCAGGGCGCAATTCAACTTCAATACGTGTACCAACATTCAACGACAAGTCTTCTTCGATCGAATATTGATCCAAACTAAATCATAAAAAAAATAAACTGAATTGTACAAAAGAACAGTTAGTCAAATTAGTCAAATTGATAGACTGGAAAAATTGGAAAATATTTGCTAGTTTTGAAGAACTAAAAATATATTCACAAAATATACTTTAAATAACTGATCATTTGGAACAAGTCAAAATCTAATTAAGAAGTGTACAATACAAAATTAGTATTAAAATAAAATAATATTATAAATTATAAATATAATAAATTTCAGATTTCCAGCTTTCTGTCTTCTATTTGGGAAAAGATAAAGAGAAAAAGCGTTATATCCAAGCAAAGCAATAAATAAAGAAATCCATAGCTTTAAAAAAAAGTCGCTTTTTCCATTAAACTCAAACAATGACTTTCATAGAAAAATATTTCTACGAAAAAAAAGGTAAAAGAATGAATATTAAGTGAACCTTTGTAAAAATAATAATAATGATATACTTACCCATTCCATTTCCAAATATATCCAATTTCCGAATTCTCTTTCTTAGTTGCCACAGTAATTTTTTCTGCAACCATAAAAGCTGAATAGAATCCAACTCCAAACTGACCAATAATTGAATCAGCACTAGCTTTCGCAGTTCCTTCTTGGATAGCTTTTTGTTTTTCAACGAACTCTTTGGAACCTAAATGGCTATTTCTCAATGATCGCATATGAAATTCCAAATTTTAAAATCTTTAACTCGTTGAGAAGAAAAATGAATGGAGTGGAAAATATTATATTCCATGCTTTTTTTTTTTTTATTAAAGAATTTTAAATGAAAATTTCTCTTTCTCGTCAATTTTATTATAAAATTAAAGGACTAAAAGCTATAAATTCTATAATTTATAAATGGAGAAAATTTTTATTAAAATGAACCAGATTTAGCAATCGTTCCTAAACAGTTGATAAGATCGTTTTTATCCATTCCTATTCCATTATCCTCAATAATCAATCGTCGAGCAGATTCGTCGGTAGTAATTTTAATTTCATATGCAATATTTGTTTCGTCATCAACCATAAGACGAGAATAACGACGCTTTTCCAACGCATCACTCGCATTCGATATCAATTCTCTAATAAATACCTGAAGAAAACCGCGAAATGCGCGAATCAATGCATTCTTATTTATATCCACTTCAATCGAAAACACTAACTTCTTGATCAGAATAAAGTGATTTCGCGACAATATCGAGCAAATTTTTTGTCTCCGCTTGGAATTCAAAATGTTCGGCTGGTTTATCGGCGGCTTTCGCATAACATCGCTTGTTTAATGATTGGTGTGAAGCCGTTACCCGCAATAAGAAACCGACCGTTCTTCGTTTAATAACTGGATGTCTTCCATAAATATTCGCAGCTGAATAATCTCTAACAAGAAATCGTGGCCTGAATAAATATCGAAACATTTCTGAAACAACTTTTTTTGTCAATTTTTTAAATCTTTGCATAATTACTACAGTTTCCCTCAGAAATTAACTCTCAAATCTCTCCTCGCGCAATCATCATATATTTCCATTTTATTCTTTTTTGACTATTATCTATTTCCATATATCTTCCAGAAACATATGGCTATCCAAAAATTTATCGAACATCTTTTACGTCTGAATAAGCGAAGCAACAGTAATACTTCACCAGCACGGCACCAACCGCATGTCATATAACAGGGATTTATGTTACAAACTATTTACTGGAAAATAAAAAAAGCCAAAAAACTAAGGCATAAAATATTTATTAGCCCTTACACTTTTCATCTGATGATGCCAGGAATATTTCTTATTCCCATTTCACTTTTGCAACTGTTAAAATCATTGGTGATTAAGAATATATAATTTCCAAACCATATGAATTATTAACAATATTCCTGACATTAGCAAATTATGGGTTTTGAACCCTAAAGCAATTTCATTCCTAACAATCAGCTTTTATATCAATTGTAACTGATAAATAATAATGGCAAATATAGGTTTTTCGTATGACATAAACACAGTATTCATCGTAATTCGCAGTGATCTGAAAATATTAAATATTTCTCTTTTCCCGATTAACAAAAGAAATCACGCAAAGGAATCTTTTAACTTCCGGAAATTTGTTTTGAGAGTTAAAAATTATATTTTAAATATAACAATATTCCAGTATTTCCATTTTTATAAGGTCCCAACGGTTTTCTAGCAACTAAAAAAACTTCGAAAAACCCGAAAATAATCAAAGAGAAAAACTCGAAAGAACAAATATATAAATGTAAAATATCGCCTTTTTTTTACATCCCATTCGCATTCATATAAAAACATAAGAATTTTATAAATATAAAATATATATCAGCATATTATAAACATAGTTAAACATAATTCTTAATGCTAGCAAAATTAGCAAGAAATATTTGTCTATATTATTGCATAATGACCACATATGACGGAAAAACTCAAACAAAGCAAGGATGAGATCCAAGTTGAGAAATTTTTCTCGTAACTATAATACATCAATCGATTAGATCGAATTTACATATCAGAAAAACATTTATTAATTTACTAAAAAAATATCTGCAAAAAGTACAAGATACAATATAACTGACTGTGGGCCAAAATGCAGGCCAAAAATAAATTTTCTTTGCATTAGAATTTATTGAGGAAAAATAGAAAGAAATAGAAAAGAATAGAAAGATAAAATAGAAAATGGAATAAATACAATGTGAAATTTTTTGTGAAAAATTAAAAAATATAAAGATTTTGAAATATTAATCAAATATTTAATGGGCAAAAATATTATTATCGTCACATTTTATATTCATATTTTCTATCAAAATTATGAGATTATTTTTTCAGCGAATCATTTAAGGCAATATTTTGCAAATCTTCAAAGGTACGACAATAATCCACACTACTCTGCTGCATCATTAAATCAAATGATTGACGAAAATCTTCTGGAAGGCTAACTATGCTTTTATTTGAAAGCAAACTATTCGTATCGTTGGTATTTGTATCTATATGAAAATCATTCGAACAAAGTCCATTCAATATTTCACCCGCTATATTTCCATTGGAGCCAGCTGCACCAGCCGAAACATGACATCGCACTGGCGTGTTAACACAACCTAATGCAGTATTACGTTGACCAGTTGTACTTATGGAGCCATTTGGAGAATGAAAATTATCGGGAACATGGTTACCACGAATGACTTGTGAATCGAAATGCTCCACAATGCTATTATTAAAAGCGGCCAAAGATGAATTTATTGTTGATGCGTTTGTTTGTTCATATTGATAATTGTTTGCCCACGAACATTGCATTCCATGCGCAAAAGATGGAAATGGACCACGTGCCACAATTTTCTGAAATAATAAAGTAATAAATAATAAAGTAGTTATGTAAAATGCAAAATATGAAAATTCCGTACGGAAATAAAAATAAAGGCATTGAAGTCAAGAAAACAAAAAAAAATCATACAAAATTTTAAAACAACATTAATTACCAAAATAATATCAACAAGTCAAATAAAATTTGACAATAATCTCAAATAACAAAGAAATATTAAAAGTAAAAATAAAAGTCACTTCACAATTCCTCGATGAATTTTTGCGAGTTTAGTTAAAAAGTGAGAGGAAAATTTAACCTTAGCTCTTAAACGTTCAACGAGAGGCTTGGCACGTTTCCTCGACATTTGCAAACTCTGGAGCTGTTTTATGAATGCGTCATTTTCAGCTTGAACAATTGTTGGAACCAAGGATATAATTGTTTCTGCTGGCATTTTCGTTGATGATTCAGAATTGTTAAGAGGTGCTGTACTTGAAACTGGATTAGGATCATCTGTTGACTTAATAATTCTGGGTTTTCTCGGTCGATCCTTTACGTTTACCACGTTTACTGTTCGAGCTTCCATGGAACAGTCAGCAGGCTCAGATAAAATCTATTAAAAAAATGGAAACCAGATTGATATTAATAAAAAGAGCAAAATGAAATGAAATTTTACAAGGAAAAAATTTTACAAGAAAATAAACTACTTTAAATAGCATAAAAACCAACCTTACATAAATTATCGCCATAATTACGATGTAATAAGTTGATGAAAATATTCCACGGTTCAACTGAGTTATTACGATTTACATTAACTGTATATTGCATAAGTATTTCTTTCGTTTTCCCGCACTGAAAGAATGAACATATGCATTTTCAAAATAATATATTGGCTGTTCTTCTTCTTTTAAACAGGTTGAACCATCTGAACAAATAAGATATGATCAAAAACCTCTGTAATGACCCTGTATAATGGACCCAAAGAAATTTTTTTCAAACACTAAAAAACACTAAAAACTAAACACTAAAAAAGGCAAAAAAAACAAAAAGACTGAAGCTTTAAAAAGAGAACTTGATTCGATTAGTTAATAGAATGGTCAAAAATGATAAAGAATAAAAAGAGACAATGTAAAAAAGTTCTGAGACCGCCGCATCACCAACACTTTTTGCCGTAAGTCCATTTCGCAATTTCAAATCATCAAGTATTGTTGAATTAGACTGATTATCAACTGAACCGTGCACTAAAATTATAATCATTAAACACAAAATTCCTCATTAATATAAAAAATAAATGAATACTCCAAACTATTATTGCGATCAATCATACTGTTTTTGAAATAATATATTTGTTATTCATCATTTTTCAATAAGTGGTAGTATCTAAACAAATGGATTATATTTTTTTAAATTTTTATTTTATTCGCGATTCGCGAAATTCGTGAGGCAAAGAAAATAATTGTTGTAAGTAGATGGATTAACTAACAACTTAAACCATCAAACCATTTTCAAGAAAGAGATGCCAGAAGTTCAAGATCGCTTTACAAAAGGCCGAGGAATACGAGACATTATGTGCCGGATAAATGAAAAAGGTAAACAATATCAAAAAAAGTCAGTTTCATCGATTATAAAAATCTTTGATTGAATTGATCATCAAGCTATGGAAAATAGTTAGGAAAACAAAAATCCAAGAATACCTCATCTTTATTAAAAATTAAATACAGAATATGGCAAAAGTTACTGGTTGGTAAGTGACATGGATGCTTCCCTTATATATTCCCCTTTTATAAAGAAAACATATTAAGGGAGGATAGTTTGGAAGATGAAAAAAATTGTCTTAAAACTGAAGGAGGAAACAACAAGAAATAGCAATTTAATTTAAAAATATTAATGATGACGCACTCTAATAGCTGAGAATATAAAGGATCACCAAAATCAGCTTTAATTTTAAAAGTTCAATATTTCTCGCCAAATGTTCGAGAACTTGTGGTCTGCATGATCCAGTGTTCTAGGGATGGCTCAGATAGTTCTAAGTTCTGATTTTTATTCATTTATCTGGCTTCCTTGGCGTATCAGAGGAAAATTGCAAAAATCTCTATGAAAACTTGCAACATAAAATGCTTAATAGGTAAAATTATAGTCTGTTTATATTTTAAATAGAAAAATTAGAAAAAGAGGAAACACGGTTGTATTAAAAAAAAGTCTTCTTGATACTGACATTATTTACCGTCGATTAATTTTGTGATTATGCCTGCAAAGATTAGAATTATGCAAACTGTTGCGTTGTGATTCTCTATAAATGGGACTTTTTTGATGCTTTTGAACTTTGAAGTTGGAAAAGGCTTCTAAGAATACCCTGGATAACTAAAAAAAACAAATTGATGAATCATCGAATAAATTAAGCCAGGATTCTCATCTGAGGCAAATGACCGGACCCAAATTATTCTACGTTGCACATACTACGTTGCGTAGACTCAACTAGAAAAGGATCTACTGGCAGAAATGGCATAAGAAAAAAAAGGAGGACAACAAGGTGGATTGGTTCACAATTACGGAGTGAATGGCACACCTGAAAAACCAAGCTAAGGGCAGATCATATCTTGGAGATTATCTATCAATATGGATATCTTTATCAATATGAGACCAAAACGATTTGACGTTATTTGACATTATTAACAGAGCGAACCATTGATGAAGAAATGTGCTATTTTTCTTCCGTAATTAATTGAGAGAAAAACTGGGAGAAATATAGGATTTCCTATTTCTTTTTTAGTACGATTTTCGTATATTTCAAATTTTATTGCTTATTTCAAATTTTTGCATTTAAAAAAAAATTCATTGATAAAAATATTCAAAATTCAAAATTAATATTATTCAATTATTACCTAAATTATTTGGTACATCCTTTTCAGTTGAAGTTTTCTCCACAGACGAGCTCGCCTTACATACATCATCATAATTCATTAGTAAAGGAAATTGCGTCGTAGTAGCATTCGGTTCCTTCATATCTTGCCCTTGTGCCTTCGCTTCTTTTTGGCTTGATAATTGCTTTATCTTCTCATATTCAGATTTTAACCTGCAAATAATTCATTGTCTGCACATCAGAATGCAATTATCTAACTAATTCTAATTATAAGTGAAAAAACTAATACCTATTCAAGGAAAATCCAGAAGATGCAATTTCTTCCGTACAATGAACCATCACTCGTTCTAATCGAGTCGTATTATCGGGAAAAAGAGCGATATTCGGACGATCCACAATATCTTCGTAATGATCCTTTAAAAAAAATGAAGAAAAAAATATTTTAAACAAGTTATTAAATTATTAGATTAAAATAGTTATGAAATACTCCTGAAAAAAAAGCCAAGATTTGACCTTTTTGGCTTTCGGAATCCATTTAGCATTCAAAATGGTAAAAATACGTTCTAAACGTGCTTCAATCGGCAGACGAATTTTTATAAAAGGATTTTGTCCGCATGATTCAACATACATTCTGTCCATTGAATATTTTGGATGCAAACGTACCACAATATGAGATGGAAGAGCAATTTTTGCACTTCGACCTGAAAGTAAATGATATGAAGCGACATCTGATTATGATTGGCTTTTGACTTTTTTTGTCTAAATTTTTATTTCTTTAGGTATTACATATTCTTTGGAATATTCTCTTTGATTTTTATTCTCTTTACTATTTTTTTAAACAATTGTTCCCTTTTTTTATGTTCTCGATCTGAGCTTTTTAAATGCAAAATATCTACTTAATTAAAAATAATAAACATACTAGGGAATAGCTTTTCCAAAGCGGGGCAGGCAGGCGTACGGACAGTTCGAAATTGCTTTTTCCGCTTCAAACGCACTGAAGTGTTACTGAAAAATTCCCATAATCCATTTCATAACATGATTTGTATAAGATAGAAAAAAAATAGATGTGATTTAAAATATAGCAAAAAATATCCGCAAAGAAATTAATAAACAAAATTAACAAACCCTTCTAATATAAGCTGCCGAAGTTTTGCAGAATCGAATTTATTTCCAACTTTTTTTTTCCATTCGAAACCATTGATAACGATGAAAAGTTCTTTTGCGTCTCTTGGTACAATGAACAAACTTTCTGCAATGAAAAATTACGAAATTTTCAATGTAAAAAAAATTGCATTAAAAAATGCATAACGCAATGTTGTAAATAAAAAAATATAACAGAAAAAAATACTAAAAAACATAAATAATAAATAGAATGGTATAAACAAAGGTGAAAAATCTTCAAAAAACCTCCATCAATGCGAGCAGTTGATCGAAGAACTTTGAGTGAGTTAAAATAATAATTCCTAATTTGTTCCTTGTCCTTATTCATTTTCCTCTTTAACATCAACCTTGATATTAATTCGAAATCTTTTCCGAACTAAAATTAATTTTTAAATAATTTAAAGTTGGCAGTTGCAAAAATATTGCAGAAAATTTCAAGAAATAAAATTTTTTACAAATTAATCTTACAAATTATTTTAATAGAGTTACCTGTTTTATCCCTTCATAAAAAATCATAGTTTCAGGATAATTCCATTGACCCCATTTCCGAACTGGCTTCACAATTGATGTTGGTATTGATACTGACACAGTTGAGATTTGTTGTTCCGATTCACCATGAGCAGTTTTCCGAACTGATTTCAGAGCGGGTGATCCTTGACTTGAATGCTCCGAATCATTGCAAATTTTAACCGATTTTGGTGCGTCATTAGTAAATGCTTCGTTCATCTCACTATTTTGCGCAATGTTATTCAACACCAAAGATGAATCTCCATCAGGAAAAGATGAACTTGTGGATGGTTGAGTTATGCAAGGTTTCGTAAGGTTCACGATGGGAGTTTTGAAAACCAAACGTTTCTTTGACGAATTAACGCTATTTGTTTCAATTTGAACTGTATCTCCACCAGTGAAATTATTTTGCTGTGATATCGGATCCACTACGATCATAACTGCAAATTTATTATTGCAAACTGCAACATTTCCATTTTTTCTGGTATATCTAAAAATTTCGGAAAATTTTAAAAACTTTTTTTGTTTATATATTATAAATGACCTTAATATTAGAAAGATATTAACATATTTATTAGTATATTAACATATAAAAATATATTTATTTTCTTTTGAAAATACAGGAAAATAAAGAACGACTTTTGTATATACAAAATTTTATCTTCCCTATATAGTAGCAAAAGAAAGCAACGCAGATCGAACAATTCGATCCCAAAAATTTGCTAAATAAAACAAGATTTACATGAAAAGTTTTAAAGAAAAAATACCTTCAAAATGAACAAAAACTTTTACTTTTACTTTCAAAAAATTTTAATGGCGACAACTATAATTATTTTATTAAATTCTAAAACGGTTTAACTCAATTTACATAAAATCGCAATTAAATCTTCCAGAAAATGAACCAAAATAAATCAGTGGGAAAAAAACAATGACAATAATAATATCCATCAGTTTAATAATAAAATTAAATTAGATATAGGATGATAAATGAAAAAATGAAAAAATAAAAAATAAATGAAATGAAAAAATGAAAAAATAAAAAATAAAATCAAGAAATAGCCAAACAAAAATATAAGAATGGATCTTACCGAATGATTCAAATAAAATAGCATTACAATGCTAGATTTTTTCGCTGCATAAACTTGTGAACATAAAAAAAAATTTTTTTCTTCGTATATAAAAAAGATTTACGATTTTTCATGTTAAAATGATAAAGCTAAAAAATTGAATGCATAAAAATATTCTCCTTTCATTTTCATTTCCATTAGATTCGTAAAGAATTATCATTGAGATTTTTCATTTGGATATCGAAATAATGAAATCTCCACATGTAAATGGCTAACCATCCTAATACTAATTATAAGGTGAAAAGTGTTAAAATTTTTTCTACACAATTTTTTAGGGGAGAAAGAAGAATTTTTCAACAAAAAAATGCATAGGTTGGAAAAAATTAACCGACTCATGCAATAAGTAAATATATAGACTTTGGACTTATAATTAAATAAATAAAGTAATTAACGTAGAAAAAAAGCTAGAAAATTATAATAATTAAATGGCAGCAAATGGATGGAGACATTATTATAAAACTATACTAACACATATCTAACATGGTTCGGGAAAGAAAGCCTTTGCAAATTCACTTTTTCTTGAATCTTTTGGTTTTTCTTATAGTTTTTGACTTTTTTTGTGCAACCTTTTCGCTGAGTCTACCATCAAAAGTCGATCTACAATCGAATCAAGAGATTTAACTTGGTCGCGAACATATAAAATGATTAATTGGCATATTGAAAGCAAAAAGAATATCTTAATTTGCTTTTTTCCAAAGATTTGTAACCTGAAACAATTATAAACATGTTAATTATAATTTCATAAATGCAAAAAAACCGGTCAACTTAATTTTTTAATAAATCAGTTTAAAAATCGACTGTTTTGTTGGCTAAAAATATTAAAAAAACTACATATATCCAGCGCATCTTACACATCAGTAGTCCTCAACCTTTTCGTCCCATAGCTCCTCTGCCTCTGTAGCCTTTCTCAGTCAAAAAAAACCTTGTTGATTTTATTAAATTTCCATTTACTAATTTGTCGATGTAAAAATGATAGTTAAAAAATATTAAAATGTTAAAATTAATAGTTGAATCGTTTGAAGCTAGTTTTACACTTCTTATCTATAAAAATCATTTCGTAACTTTCGAATAGAATTATATGATTTTCAATTTTTTTTTTCATGAATCATTCCTGATTATGCTTATTCTGTTGGTTTTTCGTACCAGACAATTTTTGCCAGGAAATTACTTGGAAATATAAATATTCCGCCAGCACTACTTAGATTTTTGGATAGAAAGATTTACCGTCGAGATGGAATTCAAACATCAGCACTCCGAAATGAGACCAACAATGCACTGAGCTGTTAAAAGAATTTTGTAAGCTCTTAACATATAGTGGATAGTATATGGGGAACTGAAAGACTCTTTCGAAATAAAAGCTGGTATCCTTTCCACTACAATATTCAACTATGAACTGGATAGACTGCGATGGACTGGATAATGGGCACCGCTTGTCGGCACTCAAGAGGTATATAAATCAGTCCAGAGTATAGCATACGAATACGCCTCTATTTGCTGACAACTATAATGAAATGGAAATAATGTTAAACAATGTGTCAATAACTGCAGCGAGGTCTGGACTCAAAATTAATGTAAAAAAACGAAAATATTTTCGTCTTACATACAAGAAGCTAATAAAATACCTATTTTTATCAATTCATTGCCGGTGGAGGAAGAGTCCAACTTTAAATATCTTGGATCCACTCTAATCCTAAATTACTCTAATCCCAAGCAAAGGATGAAATTGTAACCTGGATAACGACAACTAAAAATATGTATTCTGGCTAATGGAACTTTTAGGGAACTGTCGCAAAATTATCATAAAAACGAAAATCCGAGTCCATGTAGCTACAATCCTTGCTATATGACTCCGGAACATGGCCAATGAGAGCGGAAGATTTAAGAAGCTATAGCTTTTGACCACTTATATTTAAGATATATTTTACGGATCCATCGAGCAGATAATATCGCACATGATTGTATCCATCTTCGCTCAAATACCACCTGTATTAATAATCACAGAACGTCGCCTTCGCTGGTTAGGGCACGTTCTCCGTCGTCCGCACAGTAATTGATGCATATTTCGTTACTTGCTAAACGTTACGATAGTTGGCGCCAAAAGCGAGGAGGGCCAGTCAAAACCTGGATGGAAACAGTCAAGATAAATTTTGAACGCATAGAGGGACCAGCAATATATGGACTTAGACGATGGAAAAATGAATGGCTTCCATTAGCAATGACGTCGGAGCGAGCAGATTGGAGACGCCAATGGAACCAGCCTAACCAGTAATAGTCAGAACTATTAGAAGAACAGGAGGATAGTATAGTAATATAAATCAAGTAGTCATTGGTTTATTGAATTCAATTTTCCATAAACCATTGTAAATTACAATACAATCTATATTAAATTTAATTTTTTCTTCTAACAGTTCTCATCATTACTGGTTAGGCAGGCTCTACTGGCTACAAGGATAAGATGTTTCCAAGCTGTGCGATCTGATGCCATAGTCGACAACAATAGAAGCTATTCCTTTTTCCAACGCCTAAATCCATATATTGCTGGTCCACCTTACGTTCAAAATCTTTTCTGACCGTATCAATCCAGGTTTTGATTGGCCCACCTCGCTTTTGACGCCATCCATCACAGCATTTAGCAAGTAACGAAAAAAATACTCCGACCATTTGTGATGGTACTGTTAATGCAAGTGGTATTTGAACGAAGTTGGGTGCGATTATGAAATTTTATCCACTCGGCGAATTTTAATTTAATTTACATTAGAATTCAAAACTTATTTAAATCGCAACGAAATCCACTCTCAGTCCGCTTTTAATTTTTTTTATTGTGGAGAACATGCTTTATATTCATTCTAAATCTTTACAAATCTTTATACCGCCTTACTTTGTAATTTAATATGGCTCCATGAATGTTCCAGGGTGCCTTGGAAGCCATACATCTCCCGTTGAGAACCAATGTTTTAGATCGGGTTCAATGATCCTTCTCTAACCGTATTCTGCCAACTCAACAATTCATCCGATATGCACATCTCCAAATACAAATAAACATAAACACATGCACATCTTTTTATAGCGAAAAACCTGGAAGTTTCGCCCAAATAGTAACGATTTTGAAGAAAAGAGTAAAAAAAGTTTGCTCAAACAAGTGGAATATCTTCTGATATTTACCCTGAAATATTTCGATTTCATCGTCGATTTGCACTATGCAAGTTTTAGGTCTACGGCCAATGCCCTCTTCGGATTTGCCCCCGCAGTGGCATCGCTACTGCACTTCTCGCCGGCTGTAACGCGTTTGCCTATCGGCCAAACAAAACGGTGCTATTTGACTGATTCCACCTTACATAAATGCCTTCCATTAAAAGCACTGACTCACTCGAAATTATTTCGAATACTCGATAAGAGATTAAAAACAAAACGAAAAAAATCCACTTCCTCTTCGCTCCTTATCAGAGGCAAAAGCGACCACCGAATTAATTCAGCGCTTCTAAGCCGATGAGAGAATCGACCGAACTGCAACTCATTTGCCAATTCTCTGGAAAATAGCAAAATAAATTACACGGTAAATGGAAAAAGGGAAAAAGAGAGACACGAAGAAATTTGGTCGGCTTCAATCTGAATCGGCCGAAACTCTGCGATTTCGTTGCATTTGCTGCGAATGCCTCGGTACTGCCTTTGCAAAAGCATCGCCGAACATTATTTTATTTTCATTTTTTATTTTTATTTTTATTGTTATTTATTTTTATTTATTTATTTTTTTATTGTTTACTTTTCATTTTTTAAAATTATTTTGAAAATTATTTTTAATTTAATAATAACGCAAAAAGAGAGAAAACTGTCGACGGACAAAAAGCTACGAAACTTTTCGCAGTAAAATATTTAATAAATCACGAAAAAGAAATTCGAAAATCACTAAAAAATCACTGCGAAAATAGAAAAGAAAATCAATTTTCACGAAATTTTTCATTTGGTTCTTTTTTCTTTCGTAAATTTTCCATTAAAATAGCGCGAAAAACTAATGAAAATTTTGCATCCAAAAAAGTGGAAAATAGCGAACAAAAACCTTTAAGAAATATGTGAAAATACTTTTCATCGATTAAATTTTAATAAATTTCAGTAAAATTCTCCTAAAACAATGAAAAAAACTCAATAAAATATAAAAATTAGAAAAATAAAAATTAATTTAGAACCATTGAATAACAAAATGATTAAGCGCGGCCGCAGCCGAAATGCCAAGAATTTGGGTTGTTTGTGGCGCCAAGTGGTTTTCCGTGTAATTTGAATTCTCCGTACGTAAGCCTAAGTTTTTCGCGGAAAATG